AAGTCTGAGCAGTGTTATAGTTTGAAGTTTTATTTGGCGTATACACCCATGGATGACCAGCACTGTCCCTATAACTAGAGAAAGTGCTCCCTCGAACAAAGACAGCCTTGGGGTTTATATTGATAAGAGAAAATGGAGGGAACCAAACAAAGCATTTTTTTTTTCCTACACCTTAAAGTTGTAGCTGATCATTAATTTTATCTGCAGTCAGGCAAAAGGCAAGGTATATGGAACAGTTAAACTTACCAGAAGAAGCGGAGTCTGTTGACAATGTCAGTTTATAACATTTGAGCGCACACATAGATGAAAACTGCCTGTAAGCAGAAATGTTTTGTGTATGTCACGAAGGTAAAAGGAAACAGGAGTTTTTACGTGTGAGGCCCCTGGAGTGAATTTGTCCAAGCCTAAGTTCCAGGGAATCTGGAAAAGGAAGAAAACATTTAACAAATGTGATGTTTGCTGTGGGGTTTTTCAAAGGACTTTTATCAGATTAAGGCAGTTATCTCTATTCCTAGTTAGCTAAGAGTTTTTATTATGAATGGATGTTGAATTTTGTCAAGGGCTTTTTCTGTGTCTGTCTTAATTATATAAATTTTCACCCTTTTTTATATAATGCGATTGATTACATTATTTTTGAATTTTAAATCATCCTTGTGTTCCTAGTGGGGGTGGAGAGGTTCACTTGGTTGTAGTAAATTTTCCTTTTTCTCTCTTAATAAATTTCATTTGCTGATACTTTGTTTAGCATTTGTGTATCAGTGGTCATGAGAGAGATTTGGTTTGTACTTGACTAAGTTTTAGAATCAAGGTTATGGTGGTCTCACAAAGAGAGTTGGGGAATGTTTAGTCCTTTTCAGTTTTCTGTAATCTGTGTAGATTCGTGTTATTTTTAAATGTTTGGAAGAATTTACTGGTGAAGTCTTTTGGGCTGAATTTCTTTGTAGAGAGAATTTTAAATAAGATTTAGTTTCTTTAATAAATAATCAGACTCTTTACATTTTCTATTCCTTCTGTCAGCTTTGATTTTGTTTTTTGAGAAATTTGTGCATTTCATCCAAATTTTCAAAATTTTGTATGTCTGTAGCATCTGAGGAGGCCTGGTGGCACAGTGATTAAGAAATCAGCTGCTGACTAGAAGGTTGACAGTTTAAATCCACCAGCTGCTCCTTGGAGACCCTATGGGGCAGTTCTACTCTGTCCCGTAGGGTCGCTCTGAGATGAAATCTGTTTGACGGCAATGGGTTTTTTTTTTATAGCATCTGAACGATGTCACTTTTTTCATTCTTGATATTGGTAATTTGTTTCCCCTCTGTTTCTTGATCATTCTTAGGGGATTTTCATTTTACGAATCTTTTCAAAGAATCAACTTTGGGCTTTGATTTTTCTTTAGTGTACATTTGTGTGCTGTTTTATTGATTTCTGCTGTTATGTGTATTACTTCCTTTCTTCTTTTTTTGAGTTTGATTTGATGTTTTTTTCCGTTAGCTTCATAAGGTGGAAACTTAATGATTTTTCTGTCTTTTACGTACATTAAGACTGTAAGTTTACATCAGTGCACAGCTTTAGCTGTATATCCCTCAAATTTTGTATGCTGTATCTCTGTTATCATCAGTATATAAAATATTTTCTAATTTCCATTTTAATTTCTCTTTTGACTCATACATTATTTAGAAGTATATTATTTAGTTTCCAGGCAACAGGGGTGTTCTAGTTGTCTTTTTGTTATTGGTTTCCATCTTCTGTTGTTATCTGAGAACAGGTTGTGAATGATTTCTGAGAACAGGTTGTGAATGATTTCAGTCTTTTCAATTTATTTAGGCTTTTTTCCTGGCCAGCTTATGATCAGTTTTGGTAAGTGATCCATGTGCACTTGAACAGAATGTGAATTCTGATGTAGCTGGCTGCAGTGTTTTATACATGTAAATTAGATCGGGTTTACTAATTGTGTTCAGCTCATCTTACTGATATTTTTGGCCTGCTTGTTCTGTCAGTTGTTGAGAGGAGTATTAAAATTTCCCATTTTGTTGTCTTTTTTTCATTTTGGTTCGGTCAGTATATATATGTGTGTGTGTGTGTGTGTTTGTGTGTGTGTAATTGTTGAAGCCATGTTATTGGATATGTGTGTATTTAGGATTGTTACATCTTCTTGCCATAGTGACCCTTGTATCATTATACGATTTTTTTTCTTATAACATTTTATTGTGGTTTAGGTGAAAGTTTGCAGAGCAAATTAGTTTTCCAATCTCCTTCATTTTTAATAAATCTTTTTGCATTAGGAAACTCTGGTAGCTTAGTGGTTAAGAGCTACGGCTGCTAACCAAAAGGTCGGCAGTTTGAATCCACCAGGTCCTTGGAAACCCTATAGGGCGGTTTTACTCTGTCCTGTAGGGTCGCTATGAGTTGGAATCCACTCAACGACAACTTTTTTTTTTTCTTTTTTGCATTAATGTCTACTTGCAGTTTGAATTTACATGGTACACTTTTCTCCATCCTTTTGCTTGTATTCTCTCTGTATCCTTATGTTTATCATCTGACTATTTTCTGTCTCATCTACCTGTTTCATTTTTCTCCTTGTCTTCTTTTGAATTATTTATTTTTATTGTATTTCTCCTTCTATTAACTTGTTAATAATGCATTCTTTTCCTATTTATTAGTTGTTGCACTAGAGAGCTTCCAGTTAATTCTTTTTCTTTTGATTGTACTTTAGATGAAGGTTTACAGAACAAATAGTTCCTCATCAAACAGTTAGTACATGTATTGTTTTATGGCAATGGTTAACAACCCCACGACATGTCAACACTGTCCCTTCTCAACCTTGGGTTCCCTATTACCAACTTCTCTGTCCCCTCCTGCCCTCTAGTCCTTGTCCCTGGACTCTTGTGCCCCGTTAGTCTCATTTTGTTTTATGGGGCTGTCTAATATTTGGCTAAACGGTGAACCTCGGAAGTGACTTCGTTACTGAGCTAAAAGGGTGTCTGGGGGCCATACTCTCGGGGTTTCTCCAGTTTCAGTCAGGCCAGTAAGTCTGATCTTTTTTTGTGAGTTAAAATTTTCTACATTTTTCTCCAGCTCTGTCCAGGACCCTCTGTTGTGATCCCTGTCAGAGCAGTTAGTGGTGGTAGCTGGGCACCATCTAGTTGTACTGGACTCAGTCTTGTGGAGGCTGTGGTAGCTGTGGTCCATTAGTCCTTCGGACTAATCTTTTCCTTGTATCTTGTTTTCTTCATTCTCCCTTGCTCCTGAAGGGGTGAGACCAGTGGAGTATCTTAGCTGGCTGCTCACAGGCTTTTAAGACCCCAGATGCTACTCACCAAGGCAGAATGTGGAACATTTTCTTTATAAACTGTGTTGTACCATTTGAGCTAGATGTTTGCTGAGACCATGGTCCCCATAGCCCTCCACCCAGCAGTTCAGTCCCTCAGGGAGTTTACTTCCAGTTTATTCTTGACTTACAGTCTAATGTAGTTTACTTCCCCAACACTGCTAGACCATTTGACCAGGTTAACTCCATTTATCCCTGCCTTACGGATTCTTGGAGTCATGATATTTAGTTCTACATATATTTTAATTTTCATAGATATTGCAATCACCATTTTATAGAGTCAATATTAATTTATATTCACTCCAGAATTTACCCTTTTCCTAATGAATTTCCATTTTTTTCATTTCTCATCTATTTGAAGACCTCTCTTTAGTATTTCTCTTCATATAGGCCTGCTAGTAGCTGATTCCTTCAGATGTTGTTGGTTTAAAATGCCTTTATTTTACCTTAATTTTTGAAGGATATTTTCTAGTTATAGATTTTAAGGCTGGAAGTTATTTTCTTTTAGTATTTTAAGAAATTGTACAGTTGTCTTCTGGCTTCCATCATTTCTGTTTTCAGCTGCAGACTTATTGCTGTCCTTCTGAAGTTAATGTGTATTTTTTTCCTTTGGTTGCTCTGCAGATTTTCTCTTTGTTTTGGTTTCAGTGTTTTATTGTAATAGGCCTACACATAGTTTGTTGAAATTTGTCCTCTTTAGGGTTTACTGGTTGATATTGTTTATTAGTTATGGAAAATTATTGGCCATTATTTCTTTGAATATGGCTCCTTCAGCATTCTCTCCTCTTTTCTAGACTAATTTCATGTGTCCTAATCCTTTTAAGTGTGTCCCATATATTTCTTATGTTCTTTTTTTCCATGCTTTTTTCTCATTATGCTTTAGTTTGAATATTTATATTGACCTTCTTCTGGTTCACTAGTCATCTCTTCCTTTATTTCCAGTATGTTATTAGACATACCTGAGTTCTTAATTTCATATATTGTATTTTTCAATTTCAGAATATCTTTTTTATGGATTACTATTATCTGTAGAAAAATAATTTTTAAAAACTGTTTTGCCCATCTTCCTCCTTTATTTTCTTGAGCATATTAATCATAGTTATTTTAAAGTCCTGTGTGCTAACTGCAGTCTTGATCATCTGTGGGTCTGCTTCAATTGTCTTATTATTTCTCTTCGCTATTGGTCATATAGTCTTGCTTCTTTTCACATCCAGTCGTTTTTTTATTGTATGCTGGACATTGTGAATAGAATCCTAAAGGTGCACAATGATTTTATCTTCCACTATAGAAAGTTCCCCCCTTTCCTCTCATAGACAGGTAGGATGGACAACTTATCTCAACCATCAAGAATTCACCTAGGTCAGGGCTGAGTTGTAGTTTTGGTGAGAATCTATCTCTGATTCACCCTTTTCCTAGGATGTGTCCTTCAGATCTTTCAATTGAGAGTCTGATAGGTATTTGTCTTCTCAGCCCGAAAAGACTGTGGGAGGTTCAGTTTTGCCGTTCAGAGGTTTTCAGCTTAGCCCTTAGCCTTCTGCCTTATGCAGCTTCAAAATTTGGCAATCGTCTTGAGGGGGAGACCGGCCATGTGTTTGAGGCCCCTCAAGTCTCCAATTTTGTCACTCCAGCCCCGCGTGAACGCCAAAATCTCTGCTGGTTTCTCTGTCCCCCAGTAGCGGCCTTCTGCCAGGGGCCACGCCTGGATTCTCAACCTCTAGCTGCGCCCAGAATTGGTAAGTGCCCCCAGGTGAAAAGTGGCTATCAGTCCTCAGTCTAAATTGACTATGCCTCTGTGATTTTCATCTTTTGCCTGTTTTGTTTTAGTACCCTTCCCCTGTGGGTCATTGTTTCCTACTTACCACAAGACTGAAAGATTTCACTACCTCTTCAGCTTCTCACAGCCTCAGAATTCAGTCTTGTGAGGAAAATTGGCCATGTGCTTGAGGTTCCTGACGTCTCTGGTTTTATCACTCCAGCCCCATGCCGCTACTGAAAGTTTTGCTGGTTTCTCTTTCTCCCAGCACTGACCTCCTGTTTGGGCCAAACCCTGATCCTCATCCCACACCCAGAATCAGCAAATGTTCCTAGATACCAAAACAGCTGCCGGTCCATCAGCTTATCTCTGAATGGTTTTCTCTCTGTGGAATTTTAGTCCATCTAGTCTACATTATTTCCTTACCTTTCTGATGCCTTTAAAAATAAAGTTTTTGTAATTTATTTTGCTCTTCTAGTTGTTACCAGGAGCATTGACATGCTGTATTCTATTATATTCTACCCAGAAGCAGAAGTTCCAGTTATAAATGAATTGAGTGATACATATTGTTTTAGGAAGATACCTAGATAAAATTACTTGTTTGTGCTCTCTCTCTTTTTTTTTCTTTTCATGTTATTAGTTCTTTTGAGAAAAATTCCTCACTCTATTTTAATGCACGAATAAATGCAGTATTTTACTCTCGGGATGTAGTCTGCTGCTGTCTGGTTTTTCCTTTTGTTTTTCCCTTGAATTTCCTTTGTTAACGAAGTCAGATAATCATGGATCATAAAGGTTAGGTTATATGTAAATTCTACCATGGCAACAATTAATTATAACTTTGATTTTCTTCCATGCGTGTAGTTTCAGATGATAATGAAGGTTCTGATGGTGATGGTGTTCATGAAATAACAAGTCGAGATAGTCCGGTTTATCCCAGATGTTTACTTGATGATGACCTTGTCCTGGGAGTTTACATTCACCGAACTGATCGACTTAAATCCGATTTTATGATTTCTCACCCGATGGTAAAAATTCACGTGGTTGATGAGAATACTGGTCAATATGTCAAGAAAGATGATAGGTAATTTTTTTTTTTAATTGCCAGCCAACTCTTGAAATTGAAAATGTCTGTAGTAGAAGTCCTGTTTTCTGCCATTGGTAGTTGAAAGTCATTGGGAGTAGAGCTATAGATTTGTACTGAAGGATGGGTGTAGGTGTTCATCACTATATTTTACGGAAGAAATGGAGGGCGTCTGTTAATTCAGCAACTCAGTCTAAGTACATTGAATTTGGAGCTTTTACCAAGCTTAAAGCCAACTGCAGTTGACTCCAACTCATGGCAACCCCACAATTGCCAATAGAACTGTGCTCCGTAGGGTTTGTAATGACTGATTTTCCTGAAGCAGATTGCCAGGACTTTTCTTTCAAAGTGCATCTGGGTGAACTCGAACCTCCAGCCTTCCGGTTAGCAGCTGAGCACATTATTCATTTGCGCCACCCAGGGATTCCTCTACCAAGCTTAAATGACTTAATTTATGGCCTTTAACTTACATTGTAAATCATCTTATGTTATAAGTGGTGTGTGCTTATGTGTTTGTTTTCTTATTTAAATCTACTATAATATTTTATCACAAATGTATTTAAGATCATGAAGGAGTTACTTTATATTACTTTATTCCAGTCCAAAAGTGTGATTATACCTCTTAATTTATTTTTTTGTGATAAAATAATTTCTGTGAAACCAACTGATAGCATATAAATGCAAGATAAAAAAATCTCATAAAATTTATGATTTTCTTCGTGGACAATCAAAATAATTTTTTCTTTTTGTCATTATGGCTATTCATTATTTCTTTTTTAGTGTATTTTAGATGAAGGCTTACAGAGCAAATTAGTTTCTCATTAAACAATTAATATACATATGTTTTATGACATTGGTTGCCACTCCCACAACATGTCAACACTCTCCCCTTGTCGACCTTGGGTCCCCTGTTACCAGCTTTCCTGTCCTCTCCTGCCTTCTCATCCTTGCCTCTGGGCTGGTGTGCCCACTTAGTCTCATTTTGTTTTATGGGCCTGTCTAATCTTTGGCTAAAGGGTGAACCTCAGGAATGACTTCAGTACTGAGTTAAAAGGGAGTCTTGGGGGCTGTACTCTCGGGGTTTCTCCAGTCTCTGTCAGACTAGTAAGTCTGGTCTGTTTTTTTTGGTAAGTTAGAATTTTGTTCTACATTTTTCTCCAACTCTGTCTGCGACCCTCTGTTGTGATCCCTGTCGAGCAGTTGGTGGTGGTAGCCAGGCACCATCTAGTTGTGCTGGACTCAGTCTGGTGGAGGCTGTGGTACTTGTGGTCCATTAGTCCTTTGGACTAACCTTTACCTTGTGTCTTTGGTTTTCTTCATTGTCTGTTGCTCCAGATGGGGTGAGACCAGTGGAGTATCTTAGATGGCCACTCACAGGCTTTTAAGGCCCCAGACATTACCCACCAAAGTAGGATGTAAAACGTTTTCTTTATAAACTATGTTATGCCAGTTGAGCTAGATATTCCCCAAGGCCATGGTCCTCAGCTCTCAGTCCAGTAATTCAGTCCCTCAGGGAGTTTAGATGTGTCTGTGGAACTTCCATAACCTTGCCTTGGTCAAGTTGTGCTAGCTTCCCCAGTATTGTGTACTGTCTTACCCTTCACCAAAGTTACCACCTATCCATTGTCTATTTAGTGTTTTTCTCTCCCCACCCTTCCCCTGCTATTCATTATTTCTGATTGTCTCATCGTGTACACTATATTTTTATTTTTTCTCAACTTCTTAAAATTGTATAGAATTGTGTTAATGGAAGTATGTTTTTTATTTGAGCAGTGAACGGCCTGTTTCATCTTACTATGAAAAAGAGAGTGTGGATTATATTCTTCCTATCATGACCCAGCCATATGATTTTAAGCAGTTAAAATCAAGACTTCCAGAGTGGGAAGAACAGATTATATTTAATGAAAATTTTCCCTATTTGCTTCGTGATTTTGATGAGAGCCCTAAAGTTATCCTGTTCTTCGAGGTATGAATTAATTAAGCAATTTAAATAAAATTTAATTAATAACATTACTAATAGCACAAATGTAAGCAGTTATTTTTAATAGTTCAATAATGTATCAAAGTTGTGTGACAATTTAATCTACAGGATTTAGAGTTTGTAATAAGCTATGGAGATCCAAGTGAGAGGCCCTTTTACAACAGTGGTAGTGTATTTGCTGAGGGCGTATTTGGTAGTTAGTAGTTAGTAGTTAGCCCTTTGGTATGCTCTGTATCATTAAATCTTTACAACAACTCCATTACCTTTAACTGTTAACTGAAGTAACGAACCTAATCTGTATGAATGCAGAGCCTTCATTCTTAACCCATTTCATAGACTGCAAACTCGTTGAACTGTTTAAAACACCCTAAGAGTTTGTAAATCCAGCTGGCGAAATAAAGACAGACATATACAAATCAATTGACTAATTCGGTGTAGCATATAACCAGAAATGAATCTAGAACTTCTTGGATATAAAGGGTTAGTGGAGGGTCAGAGCAGTCAGGGAAAGCTTTATGGAGTAGATGAGCTTTGAGCTGGCTTGTTATTCTCCCTTTGCTACTAAGGAAATAAAAGTTCCAAGTGAAAATGATTTTCCCAAAGTTACTCTACTTTTAAGTGCATGTAATTAATATTTGAAGATAACGTTGACCCTGAAATACTCTTTATCATGTTATATCTCACTATAAACAAAGGGAAGTAGAGAAAGCTTCCCTTCCAGTTGAAGCAAAATTGAGAACTTTACTGTGGGAACAGGAAGGAGATTGACATGACCAGAGCCAGTGATTCATGTGTGGAGTTACTTGTCTTTATGATCCTTGACTTTCATATTACTTATGTGTGTTTATGATATAAATATTCTGCCACTTATGTCTATGATTATGTTGTGTGATGTATTTAAAGCTGTAATAAGAAAAAGGGGTATAAATTATATCTCAAGGAATTTTTCCTTTGTCATACAAATTTGTCCTGTGATAGTTATGGTGATTTTTTATGTTCATTTTATTATTATTAAGAGATTTAAGAAAGAGATTTTTTTATTATAAATACTTTGGGTTGCTTCTTAAGTTTTAACATGATGTGTTACTGCCTACATAACTACTTTTTAATTTTAACATTTTAAGGGTTTATTGAGGACAGCTTGGTGGTATCAGTCAGAAATCTTTAACACAGTTATTTCACTTCTAGGCATTTATCTTAAGGGAAAAGTGACAAGTGAGTGAAGATGTGTGTGCAAGAATATTTATTTCAGCATTGTTTATAATAGCAAAATTTTAAGAACCTAAATTTCAGTCAGTAAGAGATTTGATTAAATTATGATTTTATTAGTTTATGGTATTTATAGTATAGTAAAATACTGTGCAGCCATTAACATGATGTATTACCATGTATTAACAGACGTATTGACATGAAGAGATACCCATTTCGTATTACATGAAAAGAGTTTGCGAAACAGCATTACCGGATTTGTAGTCATTTTTCACGTATTTAGGAATGCGCAACAAAAGGTTTAGATACATGTAGACTGGATGTTGATGATTATCTATGAGTCTGGATTTCAGGCTCTTTTTACTTTGTTTATATATTTTTCTATATTGTTTGAGTGATTTTTCAAAGAGCATGTATTACATCTGAAAACAGATTTCAGTATCTAAAGAAGAGGGCTGAATGGAGTTCATATTATTTTTTCAGGTAGTCTTTCGTAAAGATTCATTATCTCAGCTGAGCTTTTGATAAGCAGCAGTACGTTCAAAGTGATAGTCGCTGAACTACAGTTCAGATAGTTTCTGTGGCAGGTTGGTTGCAAAGCCATGAGCTTTAACTTCCATAGAGGATAGAGTTATGAAGGAAATCCTCCTGAGAAGTCTAATGGGAATATGTATCCAAAAAGAAAATCCCATCTGCAGAAAGGTGATCCAAGGAAGGACTCAAAAATAGGGAGAAGCGTTTTAAGCAAACAAACCTTTGATGTCAATTCTGATACATAAATAAATGCTCAAAGCTTAAGATTCTAGGCTTGGTTTATTTATGTCTAGACCATATCCGAAGCTAGTAGTACTGTGCCTTGGATTTGAAATAAATTTTAATAAAATATTTATTAATAAAAGATAAAGTGGTGAGAAAATAGACCCTTACTAACTGGAAGAGTTAACTTTAAGGTGAATAAAATTTGGTACAAATGTGTTTCCTCCATATAAGGAAAAAATTTTAAGTATACAGATTTTTTTTTTATTTTAGTAATATATTATTGGAAAATACTAAATTTCCGGTAACTGAGTAGTCTGTGAAGTAATTTTTTTGAACTTATTTGCAGATTCTTGATTTCTTAAGCATGGATGAAATTAGGAATAACTCTGAGGTTCAAAACCAAGAGTGCGGTTTTCGGAAAATTGCCTGGGCATTTCTCAAGGTATGTTTTTCACATCCATTTTTAAACACTTAAAATAATTTTCAAGTCTGACTGACTGCTTTCTCACAAGTCAGTTTGGTTTCATAAAATGAGTTACAATCTAAGACAAGGTTACAGTAGTGAAGAGTTATTAACTCAAGCTCAGGTGATACTCATTCAAATACTTAAATACTTATTGACTGCCTAGTGTATGCCAGGTGCATAGTTTAACTTTGAGAATGCTACATTGAAAAAGACAGACACAACCCTGCCATCATTCATTCAACTGAACAAATATTTATTAAGCCCTTTGTAAATGCCAGACATTGTTCTAGTCAGTGAACAAAGAAGACAAAAATCTTTGACCCTATGGACTTCGTGTTCCAGCAAGAAGAACAAGTATAAAATAATTGGTTACACAACACAGCATTTAATTACGATTTTTTTTTTAATGCTGTGAAGAAGTATAGTGTGAGTAATAAAAACAGAGGGTCCTGTGGGATCAGGGAAGGCTTTCCTAAGGAAGAGACATTTAACCTGAGTGTTAGCTAGATGATGGCAGTAGAGAAGAGAGAGTTCTAGGTAGAAGGTCAAGTATATGCAAACAGTGTATACCCTGATGTTGGAAGGAGCAAGGTATATTCAGATTACCAAAAGAAGGTCACTGTGATCGGAGTACAGAGACTGAGGGGAAGAATAGTTGATAGAGTTTGGTGAGGTAGGTAGTTTTTTGGTTATAGGGACTTCTTAGCCTTTATAGCAATGGGAAGCCATTACAGGATTTTAAACAAAAGGCTGAAATAATCTAATTTATGTTTTAGATTATTCTGCTTTGTAGAGAATGAATTAGAGAGGGAGCGAATGTAGACACTGGAAGATAAAGTTAGGAAATTCTTGCAGTAGTCTAGGTATAAAATGATGATGTCTTTGACTAGGATGTTTCAGCAGAGATGAAAGATGTGGATCGATTTGAAAGATGTTAAAGAGAATATTAATTTTATAATTATCTCATCTCTGGTATCCCTTATTTCTGGCCTCAAACATATTTTTTAGTTCTAAAAAGTCTTGACTATTTAGCCTGGTTTTGTACCACCTTATAAAACTTTTCCATTTGTGCATCCATATAGTCAACAAATATTTATTAAGTGTCTCTGATATGCCAGGCACTCTACTAAATATAAGGCGTTCCGAGATAAATTAGACATTGTCCCTGCCCTCCAGCTCAGTGTGTAGGCAGATTACCTATGTGATTATGTGCTGTGGAGAGAGTTGGTACGAAAGCCCTGTTGAGGCACTTAATCTGTGTTGGGGGTTAGAGAGAAGCCTTGGAAGAGGTGCAGAATGGCAGACAGGTTGACTGTGGTGAGGAAAGTTCATCCTAGAGTGACCTTCAGGATCACCTGGTCCAGTGTACCATCTAAAATCACCCTTCTATCACCAGTTCACCTTTTTCTATACCCCCTCTCATACTAATTTAGAGCAAAAAACCAAAACATTCAAAAAAAAAAAGATTCACTTTCACATAATAAACCTTACCATCTTGAGGTCGTGTTAGAAACTGCTTCCATTCCTTTTATGCTAAAGTTTGTGCAGTCTTCCACTCTTTACTATAAATTGTACTTGGTAAACATTATTAACATATCTCATAGCATTTTTACTTTTGAATGTTACTTACCTTTTTATCTATTTGTCCATCTTATGACATTGGCAGAAATGTCAATCAGGAATTTTCCCTGACCCCATCCCTAGTGCACATTGAGGTCAAGTATTTTTCTGTGTGCTTCTCCTGTTGTAGCACTTAATGTATCACCTTTATTCAACTGCAGGCTTTTCAAAGTGAGCAGTGACTTCTTGTTAGCAAATTTTCTAAACATTTTCTACTCCTCGTTTTATCAGATTTGTTTGCATTTAATGCATCACTCTCTTGAAACTCTGTTCTGTAATCTCACCGTCTCCCAGCATATTAATGGCTCACAGAAAATGCTTAGTAAATATCTATTGAAAGAATTAATAAATGGATGGAAACTAGGATGGAGTGACCAGAATAAAATTTATCTTTGAGAAAATGTCAAGAATCAAAACTTAAATGTTGTTTTAATACCTAGACCATTGGTTCCAGAAATGCCCTGGATAATTTGTAAAGTTATTATAGTGGTGCAGAATGAACACAAAAGGACCCTTTTCCAAATATAAATGAAATGTTATGCTAATTCTCAGCTGTGCCTCAGGTTCTGAGGTACTTTAATACGTTTAGAATACATATGTGACTCTTTTTTTAAACTGTAAAATAATAAAGCCTCATTCATTTGCATTCATAATGCCAGGATCTTGGCAGGATCTTAGTTGTTTACTCATGCTAAGCAATATACTAGTGTAAACTAGATTGCCTAGTGAATATTGAAACAATTTAGGAAGAGTATAATTTAGAAACTGGAAAGTATCTCCTTAAAGTCACTATGACTGGATCCTTGGCAGACGGTAGTAGGTCTTATGAAGGGAGTTTAGAGTGCTTAATATTTAGTGACTGAGCATCTCTGTTACTCCATTTGAAACTGTTCTTCACTCTCTGTCTTTTGACATTGACTGATCACAATGTCACTCTCAGAATATAACCTCCTTTGACTTTACATCCTTCCGTAGGGGGGTAGGGGAAAGATGAGCTTGCCATCTCTCTTTCCTTATTTATACATCATTCCTTAATGTGCTACAGTCTGGATTTTGCCTTTGCTCCTAAAACATCTCCTACCACATCACTAATGACTTCTGTTTGCCAAATTTATAACATTTTTAGTTCTTATTTTATTAGATCTGTCTATATGTGATACATCACTCTCTTAAAACTTTGTTACCATGGTTTTCTTGGCACCACCTTTTCTGATTTTCCTTACACTATTCCTTCCGTTTCCTTTATGTTCTTCTACCTGTCAGTTAAATATTGGTCCTACTTATGGTTCCATCCTTGACTCACTTTTCTTGGGTGTTGTCATTTACTTATAATTTTAACTATTCCTAAGTTTTTATCATAGGGTCGCTATGAGTTGGAATCGACTCAACAGCAACAGGTTTGGTTTTAAGTTTTTATATCTAGTAAAGACTTCACGCCTGTGTTTCACACTTGCAAATGCAATTACCTACTGGAAATTTCTACTTGAATCTCTCATAGATATCTCGGACTGCTCCATATTGAACATCCTACCGGCTTCGTCCATTGGTAACACCACCATCTGCCCGGTCTTCCAAGTTTACAACCTTGGGGCTGCACTGTCTGTTATGGTAGCCACAAGCCACACGTGACTATTTGAATTCAAGTTAATTAGATTAAATAAATAGATGTTAGGTAAATTAATTTAATTTAGAAATTAACAAAGAGTTTAGTTTCACAGTTACACTGACCACATTTCAAATGTATGTGACTAATGGATACTGTATTAGCTAGCACAAATATAAAGATTTCCACCATCATAGAAAATTTTTGTTTTACTTGACTCTTTCCTGTTTTACTTTCCAAGTTTAACCAGTCAGTAAGACTTGGCAATTTTACCTCACAAACAGTTATTAAATATGTTCCCTGCACTCAATCTCTATTCTTCTGTCTTGAGTCACCTTCTACCTGAACTGCTGCAAACGTTCCCAACTCTTTACTCCTAATTTGTAGAGGACACCAAGGTACGAGGACATGGATATTTCCTACTTAGGAAGTCACAGTCAGTGACTTGTTTCCTTTTTTTCCCTCAGAACCTCCATTTATTTAGCATGAACATAGTTTGTTTTAATAGATTTTTTTAATAGACCTTTCTAAAATAATAGACTAAGCATTATTGGAAAAAAAAAGTAATGAGTGGCATAATGAGTTGAATTTTTTAGTCATTTTTGAAAATGATTTTTTACTTTAAAAATTCAAGCATACATGGATAGGTAGACTCAACATAGTGAAAATGTCAATTCTACCCAAAGCGATCTACAGATACAGTACAATCCTGATCCAAATTCCACTGGCATTTTTTAATGAGATGGAGAAACGAATCACCAACTTCATATGGAAAGGGAAGAGGCCCCGAATAAATAAAGCATTACTTAAGAAGAAGAACAAAGTGGGAGGCCTGTTATACTGCCACGGTAGTCAAAACAACCTGGTATTGGTACAGTAACATACATAGACCAATGGAACAGAATTGAGAATCCAGACATAAATTCATCCACCTATGAGCAGCTGATACTTGACAAAGGCCCAGAGTCCATTAATTGGGGAAAAGACAGTCTCTTTAATAAATGATGTTGGCATAACTGGATATCCATCTGCAAAAAACTGAAACAAGACCCATGCCTCACACCATGCACAAAAACTAACTCAAAATAGATCAAAGACTTAAATATAAAATCAAAAACGATAAAGATCATGGAAGAAAAAATAGGGACAACACTAGGAGCCCTAATGCATGGCATAAACACAATACGAACCATAAGCAACAATGCATAAGCACCAGAAGAGAGATTAGATAAATGGGAGCTCCTAAAAATCAAACACTTACGCTCATCAAAAGACTTCACCAAAAGAGTCAAAAGATAACCTACAGACTGGGAAAAAATTTTTGGCTACAACAAATCCGATCAGCGTCAATCTCTGAAATCTACAAGATACTGCAAACCTCGGCAACAAAAAGACAAATAACCCAATTAAAAAATGGGCAAAGGACATGAACAGGCACTTCGCCAAAGAAGATACTCAGGCAGCTAACAGACACATGAAGAAATGCTTACGATCATTAGCCATTAGAGAAATGCAGATCAAAACTACAATGAGATATCATCTCACTCTAGCAAGTCTAGCACTAATCTAAAACACACAATAAATGCTGGAGAGATTGTGGAGAGACTGGAACACTTATACACTGTTGGTGGGAATGTAAAATGGTACAATCACTTTGGAAATCGATTTGGCACTTCCTTAAAAAGCTAGAGATAGAAGTACCATACGATCCAGCTATCCCGCTTCTTGGAATATATCCTAGAGAAATAAGAGCTGTCACACAAATAGATACATGCACACCCATGTTCATTGCAGCACTGTTCACAATAGCAAAAAGATGGAAAGAACCTAGATGCCCATCAGCGGACAAATGGATAAACAAATTATGTTATATCCACACAATGGAATACTACGCAACAATAAAGAACAACGATGAAGCTGTGAAACATCTTGCAACATGGAGGAAGCTGGAACTCATTATGCTGAGTGAATTTAGTCAGTCACAGAAGGGCAAATACTGTATAAGACCACTATTATAAGAACTCAAGAAAAGGTTTAAGCACATAAGAAAACATTCTTTAATGGTTACAAGGGTGGGGAGGGAAGGTGAGGGTTATTTACTAACTAGATAGTAGATAAGAATTCTTAGTGAAGGGAAGGACAGCACACACTACAGGGGAAGTCAGCACAACTGGGCTAAACCAAAGCTAAGAAGTTTCCTGAATACAGTGAAACACTTTGAGAGACAGAGTAGCAGGGGTAAAAGTCTGGGGACCATGCTTTCAGGGGACATCTAGGTCAGTTGGCATAACAAAGCTTATTAAGAAAATGTTCTGCATCCTACTTTGGTGAGTGGCATCTGAAGTCTTAAAAGCTTGCAAGCGGCTATGTAAGATGCATCAATTGGTCCCAACCACCTGAAATAAAGGAGAATGAAGAAACCAAAGACACAAGGAAAGTAGTAGCCCAAGAGACAGAAAGGGCCACATAAACCAGAGACTTCATCAGCCTGAGACCAGAACTAGATGGTGCCCGGCTACCACCAATGACCACCCTGACTGGGAACACAACATAGAGTCCCTGATGGAGCAGCAGAAAGGCGGGGTGCAAAACTCAAATTCTAGTAAAAAGACCAGACTTAATGGTCTGACTGAGACTGGAGGAACCCCAGAAAGCGTGGCCCCTGGGTTCTCTGTCAGCCCAGAACGAAAACAGTTTCCAAGGCCAACTCTTCAGACAGGGATTAGACTGGACTGTGGGGCATAAAGTGATACTCGTGAAGAGTGTGTCTCTTAGCTCAAGTAGATACAAGAGCCTAAATGGGCAGCTTCTGTCCTGAGGTGAGATAGGAAGGCAGAGAGGGTTAGGAGCTGGTTGAATGGACACGGGGAATTGGGTGGAAAGGAGGAGTGTGCTGTTGCAATATGGGGAGAGCAATTAGGGTCACATAACAATGTATAAATTTTTGTATGGGAGACTAACTTGAAACATAAATTTCATTTAAACTACAACAGTAAAAAAAAATTAAAAAAATTCAGGCATTAAAGTTTTCCTTCAAAAATACCGGCACTAAACAAATGGGTAATTTGTTTCTATGTTTAAATGATAAGCATTTTAATCTTTACCATTACTATTTCAGAGAAATATATATATATTTTTCACCTCCTTTTTGTGAAGTAAAGTCTGGCACAATAATGTAAATGCTATACCAACAGTCTAAAGTTGTACAGGCAAAAGAGAGCCATCAGGAAAATATTGAAGAAGTCATTTAGGTTATCTTTCATTAAAAATGCTCTAGAACTGTTCTATGGTTAATCAACTGTGTCAGTGTTATTTTCCTTTGCTTTATAAATCTAAGGGACTTCAGCATGCCATATTAATATTTTTTAAATGAGTGTTTGGCAGTATACTCTTGTTTTATTGGATGTATTCAGTGAATATAACATTTTATTTGAATTCGTATTTTAAGCTTCTAGGAGCCAATGGAAATGTAAACATCAATTCAAAACTTCGCTTACAGCTGTATTATCCACCTACCAAGCCTCGATCACAATCAAATGTTGTTGAGATTTTTGATTGGTGGTCAAAATGTCCAAGAAATCGTTATCCATCAACATTATACGTAACTGTAAGAGGATTGAAAGTCCCAGATTGTGTAAGTTAGTAGCACAGATAAATGTATATCCTCTTTTATTGAAATTTAATGGTGCCATAATATGTTTTCCATTTCTAAAAAAGATCAAGTCTCTATAATTCTTTCAATAGATTTCTAGACTAAAAAGTTACCTTCAGAGATTACATATTAAGCCTGTAATAGCTGATATTTAAAAGAATTTTAAGTACTAAATGTATATTACAGTGTTAGGAAAATGTTTTTGTTATAACATTTGTTTTAAAAAATTTAAAGATAAAAGAATGACTTGAAGGGTTAGCAAACATTTTGTCTGAAAGGCCAAATAGTAAATATTTTTTACTTTTGTGGGCCATGTGGTGTCTGTCACCACTACTCACTTTACTGTTGTAGCATGAAATAGCTAGCTACATCATCGTATGTAGACAAATGTAACTAAATGACTGGGTGTGGCTACGTTCCAATAAAACTTTATTTACAAAAACAGGCAGCAGGCCCAGGTGCCATAGTTTGCAGACCCCTGATTTAAAGGCACATTTTCCACAATATATTGAAATGATCAGTAAATAATATTTCTACAGCTGTTTCACATAAATTAAAATTATAAATGATCTTAACAACAATTGATCCTAAAATGAAGTAAGACGTTGATTTTCAGCTCAGTGGCACATTATGTAGTTGATATTATAAATTATGACCACAGGCTTGATATACATTGATTTGAATTGAATTACATTAAATCCATTCTTAAGAAATGGAGAATTTAAAAAGCCGGAGATCTCATGATAGTCAGTTTTGTGATTTTTAGAGCCAGAAATATGATAGTAGACCAGAGCCACAGTATAACTCCTGGTAAGCATTGGTGAAGAAGCTAAAACAAGTTACTGAAACCATTTCATATACCACTGGAGTTCTTTTTTTTCCTCTAAACTTTTAAGGTTTCCTTTTTTTCAATAGGACTGTAATTTCAAGCAGCTTGTATTTTGTTTTAGGCGTCCCTGGGTTCACAAATGGTTAACTGGTCAGCTGCTAACTGAGAGGTTGGTGGTTTGAGTCTACCCAGAGGCAGCTTGGAAGAAAGTCCTGGCAGTCTATTTCCAAAAGCTTACAGCCATTGAAAACCTTATGGAGCACAGCTCTACTCTGACTCACATCGAGTTGCCATGAGTTGGAATCGACTTGATGGCAACTGATTTTTTTTGTTGTTGTTGTTATTTTAGAATAATGTACAAATAAAAGTAGAATTTTTTCTGGATTACAGTTTGGAAACATATCCATGTTGATGTTTTGTTTCGATATTTTAAAAAAGCAATACCTTCTAGAAAGGAGAAAAAGATGAACACATTGTATGGACTTTCTTATTTTTGGTACTTTTTTAGATAAGACCATCTTACCGGTCTATGGTAGCTCTTCAGGAAGAAAAAGGTAAACCGGTGTATTGTGAACGTCACTGTGAGTCAAGTCCGATAGACTTAGAGCCTGGATTAGAAGATTCAAAGGAAGTAGTCAAGTGGAAACGATTGCCTGGACAGGTGAAGTTTTTGATAATACTGGTTTCATTTAAATAACTACTTGTTTACTTTAAAAACTCTGACAGCTCCTAGAGTAACCTGTTTGCTACTGAAAAGTCTGAGATTATTATTGTTCCTAACCATAATCTAGTCTTCTCATTAATTCATTTGACAAATAATGGAGAATGCCTGTCATGCACATAAAAGCAATATCGTAGGCTCTTGGTTTGGGGGCCTGAGCAGTCAAAAAATACAGATTGTTGGTGTCTGTAAGAGATATGTCTACTACTGTTTATGAATTTTATGAAATTTTTTTACAGCCCCTGGCTTCTTCCTCAATCACATTTTAATGGAGATATGTACATGCATATCCTTCCAGCTGAAGTTGAGCGGCATTTAAGCTTTTACTTAAGTGTTCTTAACTGGTTAGCATTTCTTAACAGTGGCCAGAAGCATTGCTGGTTCAATTTTACATATTTCTTACTTGCTTCCATAAAGAGTGGAGTGGTTCATTTTATACATCTGTGCCATTACCAGATGCAGTTTATCCAAATGTGTAATACATAATAACGATTATTTTCCTACACCTCTCCAGTTTCGGTGTTTTGAATCACGTTTGACTTTCTTATTGAAGCCAGTTTTACGGGTACGTTTTTAAGTTATTTTAATCAGAATTTAATAATATGGAGAGAATAACAGACTATGCCCTTAGGGACCTTCCCCTATTAGTTGAGGAAATAATAAGAAAGCAGTTACAATGTTGTTCACTTTCAAGTATGTTTCAGAGAAGTCTTGAGGAAAGATAGGTATAAAAATAGTTGTGTAGATCAGCACTTCCCAAAGTGTGGTCTGGGAACCCCTGGGAGTCCCTGAGGTCCTTTCAGAGGATCCAGAAGGTCAACTTATTTTTATAATAACTCTAAGATACTGTTTGTCTTGCTCAGTCTCATTCTTTCACAAGTGTACGCTGGAGTTTTCTAGAGGCTGAATGACTTGTGATATCACAATAAAATGAATGCAGAAGCAAGCAGCCATGAAAATCTACCTATATTTTATTAAGCCAGACATTTAAGACATTTTCAAAAATGTAAAATAATTTCATTTTTGTGGTTATTCATAAAAATGTTACTTATGTTAACATGGTAGCTATTGTTATTTTTAAATTATTTTTCTAATTTCTCAATTTTCATTTCTAATATGATAAATAACAGTATAACTACATAAATAAAAGATTTTGGGGTCCTCAGACTAAAACATCCTGAAAAGAAAAAAGTCTGAGAATTGTGGATATAAAGAAGGTGACCTGGAGTGGTGGGAAAAGGTTCATTTAATGTAACACATTGGTGAAGCTTGAGATAGACTTTAAAGGGTGGCTAAATTAGGGTCGCTGTGAGTCAGAATCGACTCGATGGCAACGGGCTTTTTTTTTTTTTTTTTAAGTTGGGTAGGTGAAGAGGGAGAAGGAAAGGTATTTCATGTGAGAGAAAAGTTGTAAATAAATGGGAAAGGACCTGTTGTATTCATCAGGCCCTCAAAAACTTTGATGGCTGGAAACTAGAGTTTGTTTAAGAGAGAAAGTGGTAATGATAGTTTAGGCCTACATTGTGGGGTGTCTTAAATGGCAGCCTAGTATTTGATTGTGTGGAATGTGAGAAATAATGGAAAGATTTGGGGTAGGAGAGAAGCGTAATAACAACCGTATTTTAGGACAAATTGATGTTAGCAGAGGTATGTAGGATGTACTGAAGGTAGGATACATCAGAACTAGGAAAAACTAGTAGATGACAGTTGTGGTCATCAATGTGTGAGCTGATAAGGGTCTAACCTTGGGTTATTGGTAGTGAAATAAAAACTAAGGGTTGAACGCAAGAGATAGATGTAAGAGCCAGCATGATGTAGTGACTGACAGGTAGTAAGGGAAGGGAAAGCATCCATGATTTTGAGGACTTTTATGGTCATTATTAAGCTTTCATTGAGTGCCTGTTTTTACTAGGGCACAGTACCAAGCCCTGGGAACACAAAGACAACTGACGGCTTCAGTGGTTTTCACCTAGGTGAATGGGCACAGAGCCTTCCTCAGTTACACTCCAGAAACAGCAGCCAAGTGGTTATTAAACTTCTTAACTTTTCCTCTAGTTTTTATCGTTCTTTCCCCTTTCTAAATCTTCTGATTTGAGAATGGATGAAAAGGATAGGTAGTGTTGTCTCTGGTACCTTACTGGCACCTAATAAATATCTGTTGAAATTTTCACCCTTTTAGTAGCTGCTTATCACTGCCTCCTGAGGTACTGCTAAATCTTGACCCCGTTTGTGAAAAACCTAATACCTATCTAGAAAGCAAGCACTTAAACTGATAGTCTCTGACTAGGCCTGCTAAGCTGGTCTTGACCCTTTGAATAATCCTTATTAGCGATATATAATAATATATGTAGCTGTATATAACTAATACTGGCCATCACAGGGTTGCTGTGAAGAGTATATGAAAAGACTTTAGTAATAACATGCAACATTCATGTCATATAGTAAGGGTTCAATATATGTTTAATTCAGCTTTTTGAATAATAAGGAATAGAGGAACTGAGACTCACTAAAAGTAGGAAGAAGTAAAACTAGGATAAATAAAAGTAAATAGTGTTTTCTACAGGACATATTAATACCTGAAAAAATTTAGTTTATTCTGGTTGCAGGTAATGAAAACATAAAAATTATGAAGAAATATTACTGAATGAGAAACCCATAGGAAGTGATTGGTTACTTGGAAAGTACACTTTCCAAGTACAGAGTACGAAGGATGGTAATTCTGAGACATAAAGAGAGAGAATGAGCATGAACACGTGGTGAACTTAAGTTGTAGTGGCCCTATAGGGTGTTTATGGTCTTAGAGCAGTTTGTAGCCTTCGCAAAAATGAGTTTTTAGTTGCTGTCAAGGAAAAGGGATGTGACAAGCCTTTTTTTTAGTGGCTTTATAAAAGCAGTGTGGCAGTGACAGCTTTAGAGTATCAAATATTCAGATCATTTTTCTAGTCATATTTTAGGTGAATTAAGAGTACCATTTCGACCTAGAGTACAAATTCGCTTAATTTTATGGAGAACTGATTCTTTGTTTAGAAAGTAATTAACTATGGTTTGTCTACATTCTCCTTACTTGATTTTCTCTTCCTCTGCATCACAGTGAAGGGACTTTTTGGAAAAGCCACTTATAGGAATTGAAATTAACAACTAGCCTTTGCATTTTAACGTTTCCTATTGATATTTTTAAAATGTGTGTTTTGTAGGCTTGCCGTATCCCAAACAAGCACCTCTTTTCACTAAATGCAGGAGAACGAGGATGTTTTTGTCTTGCTTTCTCCCATAATGGAAGAATATTAGCAGCAGCCTGTGCCAGCAGGGATGGATATCCAATTATTTGTGAGTAGCAATCCTATCTGTTAATCTGATTGTTGTACGCTGTTTGGTTTTTAAAGTTTGTTGAAATTTTAGCTTGAGTCATCCCTAGTACTGCTAAATTAAGGAAAATAGATTTCTTCAAGTAAAATAAGAGTTCTTTTATAATAATGTTATATTTGTCTGTATAATATTTTTTCCGAAATAGCAAGAATGATCAAATGAAGGGTAGTAAATTTATTTTTAAAACATGATGGAGCATTGTATGTAAGCGTTTCTATGTTAAATATAGAAATTGAGAGATGAGAAGGATTAACAAATGGGGATTATTAGTCTAATGTGGTTAGTTGGTATCAGTGATAATTTGAATTATGAAAACCCAAAAATTTGTTATGTACCAGAGCACGAATGTATTGCCCCGAGAGTATGTAGATGAAGACTTCTCACTATGATTAAGGAAGTCAGCAGAGAGACCAAAAACCCCCTCTCTCAACTTGCCTTTAAAAAGTATAGGAAACCATGTTGAAAAGAAGAATTGTTTCTGTAACTTTAGAGGTTCTCTTTTTTTTTTTTTTTAAGTGTGTGTTAACATACTTAGAAGCATTAGTTAGAAACATTAAATACTCACCCTTACTTGTTGCTCAGTAATGAAAACCAGCTCAGCTCCAAAGAAATAGCCAGATCCTCACTGACATCTGACCTGAGCAAGCAATTGTGTTGAACTTTCCTAAGCTTCAGACAGTTTGTTATTCTTTGGCTAATTCACTTATGAATTTCACTGGGAACTCATAACTTACTTGATTGGTGTTTAGTAAATATTCTTCTAATGAAGTAATGGTAGCTTTAAAAAAAAAAAAAAAGAATGTGTAGTAGTTTGATTACAACTATACTATTGAAAAAATTTACCAAAAACTATGCATAGGGGAAAAAAAGTTTCTTAGGAAATATACCCTAAAACATTGATAGTGGTATTTTTCTTTTGGGCGGTGGAAAAATTATTTTCGTTCTGTTTTATATGTTTTCCAGATTTTCTGTGATAAACACGCGTTACTTTATGCTCAAGAAAAATAAGCTTGTTCAAAATGGTAAATTGATATTGTTGTTGCTAAGTGCTGTTGAGTCGGTTCTGAGTCATAGCGACCGTATGTACAACAGAATGAAACACTTCCGGTCCTGCACTATGCCCACAATCGTCGTTATGCTTGAGCCCATTGTTGCAGCCACTGTGTCAGTCCATCTCATTGAGGGTCTTCCTCTTTTTCGCTGACCCTCTGCTTTACTAAGCGTGATGTCCTTCTCCAGGGACTGGTCCCTCCTGATAACATGTCCAAAGTATGTGAGATGTAGTCTCACCATCCTTGCTTCTAAGGAACATTCTGGTTGTACTTCTTCCAAGATAGATTTGTTCATTCTTTTGGCAGTCCATGGTATATTCAGTATTCTTTGCCAGAACCACAATTCAAAGGTGTCAGTTCTTCCGTCTTCCTTATTCATTGTTCAGCTTTCACATACATATGATGTGATTGAAAATACCAGGTCTTGGGTCAGGTGCATCTTAGTCTTCAAGGTGACATCTTTGCTTTTCAACACTTTTAAAGAGGTCTTTTGCAGCAGATTTGCTCAATGCAGTGTGTCTTTTGATTTCTTGACTGCAGCTTCCATGGGTGTTGATTGTGGATCCAAGTAAAATGAAATCCTTGACAACTTCAGTCTTTTCTCCATTTATCATGATGTTGCTTATTAGTCCAGTTGTGAGGATTTTTGTTTTCTTTATGTTGAGGTGTAGTGTAATCCATAGTGAAGGCTGTGGTCTTTGATCTTCATCAGTAAGTGCTTCAAGTCCTCTTCACTTTCAGCAAGCAAGGATATCATCTGCATATTGCAGATAGTTAATGAGTCTTCCTCCAGTCCTTCATATAGTCCAGCTTCTCAGATTATTTGCTCAGTATACAGATTGAATAAGTATGGTGAAAGGATACAACCCTGACACACACCTTTCCTGACTTTAAATCACGCAGTATCCCCTTGTTCTGTCTAAACAACTGCCTCTTGGTCTGTGTATAGTTTCCACATGAGCACAGTTAAGTGTTTTGGAATTCCTGTTCTTTGCAGTGTTATCCTTAATATGTTATGATCCACACAGTCAAATGCCTTTGCATAGTCAGTACACTGGTAAACGTCTTTCTGGTATTCTCTGCTTTCATCCAGGATCATCTGACATCAGCAATGATATCCCTGGTTCCACATCCTCTTCTGAATCTGGCTTGAATTTCTGGCAGTTCCCTGTCTATATCCTGCTGCAGCCACTTTTGAATGATCTTCAGCAAAAGTTTACTTTCACGTGATATTAATAATATTGTTCGATAATTTCTGCATTCGATTGGGTCACCTTTCTTGGGTATAGGTGTAAATACGGATCTCTTCCAGTCAGTTGGCCAGGTAGTTGTCTTCCAAATTTCTTGGCATAGTTGAGTGAGCCGTTTCAGCACTGCATCCGTTTGTTGAAACATCTCAATTGATAGTCCGTCAGTTCCCAGAGCCTTGTTTTTTGCTAATGCCTTCAGTGCAGCTTAGACTTCTTCCTTCAGTGCCATCAGTTCCTAATCATATGTTACCTCTTGAAATGGCTGAACGTTGAACAGTTCTTTTTGGTTTAGTGACTCTGTGTATTCGTTCCATCTTCTTTTGATGCTTCCTGCATCGTTTAGTATTTTCCCTGTAGAATCCTTCAGTATTGCAACTCGAGGCTTGAATTTTTTCTTCAGTTCTTTCAGCTTGAGAAATGCGGAGCCTGTTCTTCTGTTTTGGTTTTCTATCTCCAGCTCTTTGCACATGTCATTATAATACTTCACTTTGTTTTCTCAAGCCACCCTTAAGTTCTTCATCACTTCTTCCTTTTGCTTTAGCTACTCAACGTTCAAGTTTCAGAGTCTCTTCTGACATCCATTTTGGTCTTTTCTTTCTTTCCTGTCTTTTTAATGACCTCTTGCTTTCTTCATGTGTGATGTCCTTGATGTCATTCCACAGCTCGTCTGGTCTTCAGTCACTAGTGTTCAACACGTCAAATCTATTTTTGAGATGGTCTCTAAATTCATGCGGGATATACTCAGGGTCGTACTTTGACTCTCGTGGACTTGTTCTCATTTTCTTCAGTTTCAGCTTGAACTTGTATATGAGTAATGGATGGTCTGTTCTGCAGTTGGTTCCTGGCCTTGTTCTGACTGATAATATTGAACTTTTCCATAGTCTCTTTCCACAGATGTAGTCAATCGGATTCCTGTGTATTCCATCTGATGAGGTCCATGTGTATAATCCCGTTTATGCTGGTGAGAAAAGGTATTTGCAATGAAGAAGTCGTTGGTCTTGCAAAATTCTGTCATGCGATCTGCAGCATTGTTTCTATCACCAAGGCCATATTTTCCAACTACTGATCGTTCCTTCTTTGTTTCCAACTTTTGCATTCTAATCATCAGTAGTTATCAATGCATCCTGATTGCATATTCGATCAATTTCATACTGTAGAAGCTGGTGAAAATCTTCAATTTCTTCATCTTTGGCCTTAGTGATTGGTGCATAAATTTGAATACTAGTCCTATTAACTGATCTTCCTTATAGGCATGTGGGTATTATCCTATCACTGATAGTGTTGTACTTCAGGATAGATCTTGAAATGTTCTTTTTGACGATGAATGCAACACCGTTCCTCTTCAAGTTGTCATTCCTGGCATAGTAGATATGATTGTCCTATTCAAAATGGCCAATACCAGTCCATTTCAGCTCACTAATGCCTAGGATATCGATGTTTATGCATTCCGTTTCATTTTTGACAGTTTCCGATTTTCGTAGATTCATACTTCGTACGTTCCACATTCCAGTTATTAATGAATATTTGCAGCTGTTTCTTCTCATTTTGAGTCGTGCCACATCAGCAAACGAAGGTCCCGAAATCTTGACTCCATCCACGTCATTAAGGTCAACTCTGCTTTGAGGAGGCAGCTCTTCCCTATTTGTCTTTTGAGTGCCTTCCAACCTGGAAGCTCATCTTCTGACACTATATCAGACAATATTCCACTGCTGTTCGTAAGATTTTCAGTGGCTAATTCTTTTTAGAAGTAGACTACCGGGTCCTTCTTCTTAATCTGTCTTAGTCTGGAAGCCCAGCTGAAACCTTTTTGACATGGGTGACCCTGCTGATATCTGAATACTGGTGGCATAGCTTCCAGCATCATAGCAACACGCAAGCCCCCACAGTACGACAAACTGACAGACACGTGGGGGAAAATGTTAAACAGATTTAGATATACTTACGAATTAAATCTCAAACAGTAAAAGAGAATATAAGCTCGTGAAACTTGCTAGGTGGCTGTCCAATAAAGTTACTAGTGTTACCTGATTACTAGTGTTAAAAAAAGGATTGCACTAAAATCACTTTGATGCTGTCCCTTTTGGTAGCAAATCTACCTTCCCAAGTATACATTGGCTTAGGCTGATGGCAAAATTACTTTGAATTGCTTGCGGACATTTTAACCATTGATAATGGGAATGGTTAATTAATAAGGAGGATGGTAAAATGAATATTGTTTGGGGATTTGAAAATTAAATGGTATGATTCATATACTGCTTTATGACATTATTCCAGTGCATTTGGCATGTTGAAGCTTTTAGCTTTGCAGGTAATAACGGCTCAGAGAGGCAAGTTAAATATATCTGATACAATTAAAATGGAAAAAAAAAATCCAAGACATGGAAACATAGATACCGAATATATTGATAGTATCTTTGGTGTCCCACTTCACTATTATTATTAAGCTGAACATTCACAGACTGTAGAATTGATTGTTGTAATTATTACTACTTAGTGTTTAAATGAGATAAAACATCTATGAGTAACAATTCTACTTTTCTTCTTATATTCTTAGTATATTCATAGAGTTGTGCAACCATCACCACTGTCTAATTTTAGAACATTTTCATCACCTCAAAAAAGAAATGCCATGCCAATTACCAATCACTCCCTATTCCCCTCTCTCTCCAACCCCGGGCAGCTACAAATCTACTTCATGTCTCCTGTGGATTTGCTTATTTTGACCATTTCACATAAAAGGAATCATATAGTGTGCGGTCTTTTGTTTTTGGCTTCTTTCACTCAGCATGCTTTCAGGGTTAATCCATGTTGTAGCGTGTATCAGTACCTTCCTTTCTGTTGCTGAATAATATTCCCTTGTGTGGATTGCCAAATTTTGTTGATCATTCATCAGTTGATAGACATTTGTGTTAGTTCCACTTTGGGACTATTGTGAGTAATGCAGCTATAAATAAATGTGTAGAAGTTTTTCTGTGGACATATGTCTTCAGTTCTCTTGGGTATATGCCTAGCAGTTGAATTTCTGCATCTATAGTACTTTTATATTTAGCATTTTGAGGAACTGCCAGGCTCTTTTTCTGAAGCGGCTGTGACAATTTATAATTCCACCAGCAGTGTATGAGGGTTCCAGTTTCTCCACATCCTTGTCAAACTTGTTATTGTCTTTTTTATTGGAGCCATGTTAGTAGGTGTCAGGTAGTATCTTATTGTGATTTTGGTTTGCATTTTCCTAGTGACAGATGATGTTGAGCATCTTTTTTGTATCATTTGTTTATCTTCCCTGAAGTATTATTTGATTTTTAATGGGATTACTTATCTTTTGTTTACTTGTAAGAGTTTTTCTGTTCTCTGGATACAAGTCCCTTATTAGATAGATGATTTGAAAATATTTTCTTCAATTAGTGGTTGTCCTTAACAATTTTTTGATGATGTCCTTTGTAGCACAAAACTTTTTTGTTTTGATGAGGTCCAGTTTATTTTTTGTTTCTTGTGCTTTTGGTGTCATATCTAAGAAAGTGTTTAATCAGCTTATGATGATTTACTCTTATGTTTTCTTCTAAAAGTTTTATAGTTTTAGCTGTTAAGGAGTCCTGGTGGTGCAATTGTTAAGCACTCTGCTGCTAACCAAAAGGTCGGTGGTTCAAACCCACCAGCTGCTCCACAGGAGACAGATGTGACAGTCTATTTCCATGAAGATTTATAGCCTTGGAAACCCTATGGGGCAGTTCTGCCCATTTTGAGTTAATTTTTGTATGTGATGTGAGGTAAGATTCCAACTTTTTTCTATTACGTATGGATAGCCAGTTGTCCCATCACTATTTTTTCCACATTTAATTGTCTTAGATCCTTGTTGAAAATCAGTTGTCCATAAATGTAAGGGTTTATATCTGAACTCTTAATTTTATTCCAGTGATCCTTATGTCAGCATTACACTGTTACTGTCTTATTAACTGTAGTTTTGTAGTAAGTTTTGGAAATGGGAAATGTGAGTTGTCTGACTTTGTTCTTCTTTTTCAAGATTGTTTTGGCTATTCTGGGTCCCTTACATTTCCATATGAACTTTAGGATCGCCTTGTCCATTTCTGGAAAAAAAATTAAAATGTAACTGGAATTTTGATAGGGATTGTGTTGAATCTGTAGATCAGTTTGAGAAGTATTACCATCTTAACAATATCAAGTCTTCTAATGCAAACTTACAGGGAACATATAGGATGTTCTATGTTCCATTTATCTTTAATATTCTTTCAGTGATGTTTTATGGTTTCCAGTGTACAATTCTTTTACCTCTTTCATTAAATTTATTTTAAGTATTTTATTCTTATTAATGCTATTTTAGATGGTTTTTTTTTTGGATTTCATTTTCTGAATGTTCATTGTTAAGCTATAGAAATAGATTTTTATACACTTACCTTGTATATTGCAACCTTGCTGAACTCAGTTATTAGTTATAACCAGTTATTTTGTTGATTCCTTGGACTTTTCTGTACACAAAGTCATGTCACCTGCAAATCAAGATACTTACTTTTTTCCAATCTGGGTATCTTTTGCTTACTTTTCTTGCCTAATTTCCCTGGCTACAACCTCCAGCACAGGATTGAATAGAAGTAGTGAGAATGTACATCCTTGTCTTATGGCTGATTTTAGGAAGAAGGCTTTCATTCTTTCACCATTAAGAGTAATGATAGCTGTAAACTTTCTGTAGATGGCCTTTGTCAGGCTTAGATCCCTTTGTATTTTTACTTTTTCAGTGTTTTTTATCATGAAAGGGGCCTTGGTGGCGCAGTGGTTAAGCACTTGGCTGTTAACCAGAGGTCAGCAGTTCGAACCTAGCCACTCTGCAGGAGAAAGATGTGGCAGTTAGCTTCCTTGAAGACTGATAGCCTTCAAAACCCTATGGGGCAATGCTGCTGTGTGCTGCAGGGTCGCTGTGAGTTGGAGTTGACTCTTCAGCAATGGTTTTAATCATGAAAGGGTGTTGTATTTGATCAAATAACTCTTTCTGCATCTATTGAAATGATCGTGTGGTTTTTTTTGTCCTTTATTCTATTAATATGATGGATTACATTGACTGATTTTTATATGTTGAACCAACCTTGCATTCCTGAGATAAATCCTATTTGGTCATAGTGTATGTATTTTATATGTTGCTGAATTCAGTTTGCTAGGATTTTGTTGAAAATTTTTGCATCTACATTTATAAGGGATATTGATTTGTAATTTCCTTTTTTGTGTGGTGTCTTGGTTTCATTTGGGTATCAGGGTGATACCAGCCTGACGGAATGAATTGGGAAGTGTTTCCGACTCACAGCGACCCTATGGGACAGAGTAGAACTGCCTTGTAGAGTTGCCAAGGAGTGTCTGGTGGATTCAAACTGCCGACCTTTTGGTTAGCAGCCGTAGCTCTTAACCACTACGCCACCAGGGTTTTCCCCTTCCCTTCTGCATTTTTTGGAAGTATTCGTAAAGGATTGAATCCATCTGGCCTGGGCTGTCTTGGGAATTTTTTGTTATTAGTAATTTAGTTTCTTGTCATAGGTCTGTTTAGATTTTATATTTCTTCTTGAGTCACTTTTGGTAGTTAATGTCTTTCTAGGAATTTGTCCATTTCGTCTAGGCTATCTAATTTGTTGGCATACAGTTGTTCATAATACCAAAACCAAAAATCAAACCTATTGCCGTCATGTCAATTCCGACTTTAAGCAACCTTATAGGACAGAGTAGAACTTCCCCATAGCATTTCCAAGGCTCGAGTCTTTGCAGAGGCAGACTGCTATATCTTTCTCCTATGGAGCGGCTGGTGGGTTCAAACCACTGACCTTTTGGTTAGCAGCCAAGTGCTTAAGCACAACGCCACCAGGGCACCTTACTGTTCATAATAGTCCCTTACAATCCTTTTTATTTTGGTAGTGTTGTTAGTGATGTCTACTCTTTCATTCCTGGTGTTCATAATTTGATTCTTCTCTATTTTTTTTCCTTGGTCAGTCTAGCTATAGGTTTGTCAGTTGTGTTGATATCTTTAAAAATTTATTTTATTTTCTCTCTGTATCTCTCATTTCACTCTAATCTTATTATTTCTTCTGCTGGATTTGGATTTATTTTGTTTTGTTTTTCCTAGTATCTTAAAGTTGAAAGGTAGGAAAAGGGTTTGAGATATTTCTTCTTTTTTAATACAGGCATTTACAACAGATTTCCAAAAGTCCTTAATTGCTATCTGGAAGTGCTTCTAGAAAGTTTAGAATTTTAAAGGAAAAATAATTTTACCACTAGGTGGGAGTAGAGACTTGGAAACTTTGTAGTTCTGTGTTAAGTGATACTCTTAGAAGCTTTCATTATATATAACACTGAGTAATATCATAGTGGGGCCCAGCTGGCGTAGTGGTTAAGAGCTACAGCTGCTAGCCAAAAGGTCGGCAGTTTGAATCCACCAGGCACTCCTTGGAAACCCTGTGGGGCAGTTCTACTCTGTCCTGTAGGGTCGCTGTGAGTCGGAATCGACTTGATGGCAAGGGGTATGGTTTTTTTGGTTTAATATCATAGTACTTTGTTTATCAGATTGTATCTCTGTTAATTCACTTATTATACCTATAATTTCAATATTAGATCTTTCTCTTGGCAGTACTACAGTTTAAATTTCTCATTACTTCACATAATTAAAAATCTTGATTGAAATTTAATTGATTTTCAGGTAAAATACTACAGTAATACTTGGCAAAAGCTGTAACCTGTGTAAGGCAGAAACCCGTCAGAGAAGGAAAACTCAAATACTTTCCACTAAAACAAGTAATAGAACAGTGGTGAGACTGCACCCTGTCAAAGGCAGGAAACTGGGGACCCCGAGAAACACTGCAGTCCTGTCGAGTTCCAGCTCACAGGTTTCACTGTGTCTTACTCATGAAGGCTATGTGAAAAGCCCAAGTTGCAGAATATTTGAACTTAATAGCAATTTAAATATGTTATTTATTGTTTGATTAGTAACTTGAATATCAGAGAGTTTTAGGAGGATTGCTTTGAACAGATGAGAATAATTTTTTATTATAGCATATTATAAAATTTTGCGTGTGCAGATTCTTACATCCAAAATGCGTGAAAAACGATTTTTGCATAGATTCTGAAATTTTGTTTGCACTGCAATATCTTTGATGATGATTTTCTTATAGACAGTGCTTACCTTATGCCCAAGTTACTATAATAAAGAATTTGTGTATTGCTGGATTAAGAATTCTTTGTCTGGAAACCTACTAATTTCTAAATATTTTCATTAGTATACGAAGTACCTTCTGGACGATTCATGAGAGAATTGTGTGGCCATCTCAATATCATTTATGATCTTTGCTGGTCGAATGATGATCGCTATATCCTTACTGCATCGTCTGATGGAACTGCCAGGTTGGTATACTTGAGAAGTACTTATTGTGTGTACTTATTCCTGTCTATGATCAGGAAAAACAAAGAGAAGATAAATTGAGCGTGCTGTAACTGTTCTTACACTTTTGCCATGTTGTACCTATCAAGGCATTGTCTATGCATCATTCAGACTGACTGATTACATAAGTAGTTGTGAAGACTTTTTTCTTGAAGACACTTTTCTTAAATGTATTTTATATATGTAATATAACAGGAGCACTGGTGGTGCAGTGGTTAAGCCTTTGGCTGCTACCCAAAAGAGGTCAACTGTTCGAATCTACCAGCCGCTCCTTGGAAGCCCTGTGGGGCAGTTCTACTCTGTCCTGTATGGTTGCTGTGTGTCAGAATTGACTTGATGGCAGCTGGTTGATATATAACATTTCTAGTCCTTGGTGTCTGTAAATTCTTGTTATGTAAACTGCTTTATTAATACTTGTGAAGAGGTTGTTAAACAACTGAGGTTTTTTTTCCTAGATCGTAAGCTCTTTGGTGGCACGAATTGTGCCTTCACTGCTGTCTTGATGCAGAGCTAGAACACAGTGTTGTTGAGTACATCACCGTAGGGTAAATAATGATTATGCATCTTAGGTTTTCAGAGCTTTATAGATTGGTGGATATTTGCATTTTTCAGAATGGTAGTCTTAAAATAAGTTAGTCCCTTTTAATTTAATAAGTATCACAATAAAACATTTGAAAAGTTGTCTTTTAAAGTTTTATTTACACTTTTTTAGCTGCTTTTTCTCCCTTTTATGTTTTCTAAAAATACTGTAGACAGTTTTTTAAGATACTTTTATATTTCATATTTGCCAGGAGCAATGGTGGTGCAGTGGTTAACGTGTTTGGCTGCTAACCAAAAGGTCGGCAGTTCCAACCCACCAGCCTGTCTGCGGGAGAAAGATGTGGCAGTCTGCTTCCAAAATATTTACAGTCTTGGAAACCCTATGGGACAGTTGTACTCTGTCCTAAAGGGTCACTGTGAGTCAGAATCTGTCTTGACGGCAGTAGGGTTTTTTATATTTGCCACTTAATTTGATTCTAAGAACTCTAGGTAGATAAACATTATTCTCTCTACAGAGTAGGAAACTGACACTTAGAGCAGTTGGAGATCCTCTCTAACTTCACTCTCATTTAGCTTACTTCCTCTGCTTCTTGCTCTTTGACACATGAAGACTTCTAGTCTCTGGACCTCTTCTACTCATTTTATCAGCGACTTTCTCCTTATAAAATGTCTGGTTGATCAAGATGTTATCGTTGCTATTTAGTTTTTATTTAAATGAAAACGATGGCAATTAGTGACAGTCTACCTTCCTGTCTGTCCAGCTGGGAACCTACTATTATTGTTGTTAGCTGTAAACAAAACCCTCGAGAGCCTGTCTACTTGGTTTTTTCTTCCAGCACAACCATTCTGAAGGATGCTAGGTAATGCTGGTGAAAAATACATGGCCTGACTATGAATTTGTAAGGCTTAGGTCACCAGAGCTCTCCCGTGCTGTGCATTCCATTTGCTTACCTTTAGTCAGTTCCCTTTTCTCATTCCTCTGGCAGCAGATCCAAACCTTACCATTCGTCAAGTCCTCTATACTAAATGCCAGTCTTCCCACTTTCATTAGATTGCTACTTTTGTGTAAATTAGCCAGATGTGGACTTCCTATATTTTCCTCCTACTGTCTTTAAGTTCACTCACCTTTATCTCTGTCTACTTCTCTTCATAAAGAGGTATGGGTGTACTCTGTGCCATCTATTGTTTCCTACCCCTCTTACCTCTTTAATATGTATCTTTATTGTGGCTTTCCCCCTTCATCTTAGAAACATACTCAAATCTCCTTATCTTTAAAAACCTTTTTTTCAAGTTTTCCTGCCTTTCAGATGACCGTGTTTTTTTCCTTTCTACACCGTCAGGAGCATTCTGTACACATTGTCTCTACTTCTATCCAGTGAGTCAGGCTTTTACTCCCACCGTACTGTACAAACTTCTTTAAGAAGTCAGCAGTTTCTTGCTCATTTTCAGATTAATTGACCAGTTTTAGTTCTTAACTCTGCTTTCATTGCGGTAATCGATTTTTGCCGTCTTAACAGTTTTTCAATTCATAATTTTCATTATCATGAATTTCCTTGTTTTCCTCCTATGACTGGGACCAATCCTAATATTATTCTCTCCCCCTACTTTCTTTTCTTCTGCCTGTTCTCCATGAATATTGATCCACAGAATTCTGTACTTCATAGTTGTCTCCTGGATTTTTATGCTTCTCCTAGTTTCTCTTAATCTTCTTCCCAGATTTTGAATCTCAATTATTTCTAGTTCCCACCTCTTTACTGAATTTGCTTTTCTGTTACATATTTCCACCCACATAGCTCAGTGGCACCTCAAATCTAAAATCTAACTTACTCACCTCCCTAGACTTCATTTTTTCCTCCTTTAGTCCTCTTATAATTCACATATTTGTGTGTGTGCATATGTGTATTTGTAATGTCATTCTAATCTACTCTGTCTCCCAAGCTAGGAACTGAGAGTAGTATCCATCTCTTCCTGGTTTCCCATCATTCCTTCCCACATCTGACTAGCTCTAAAGCCTGTCAAGTCTTCCTCCTAGAAGGCTCACCATTCTATCACATTTTCTCTATCCTCACTGCTGTTGCCTTAATCCAGACCCTTATTGTCTCTTGCTAAAACTGTTGCTACTAACCTTTCCCAGTCTTTAATCTCTACCTCCTCCCTCTCTGCTATGCCAAAATTATCTTTCCAAAACCATCTTTCATAATGATTTGATTTTAAAATAATTTAATTACCCATTGTCCGTTGCAAAGCGCCCCAGTTCCTTAGCATGACCGAACAGACATGGCCCTCATTGGCCTTACGCCATTCTCCTTTGCACTTCCCTGGTACCCTTTCCTCTCCCACACAATCTTTTGAAATACCTTTTAGCATCCTACCTTCTTTAGCATCTCCATGCCTTTTTACCTACTCTTCTATGGTTTTCCTACTCTTTCTGTCTAACTCATTCATTCAACATTTATTAAGTGCCTTTTTTGAGCTATAGTATGTTCCTGGTCATCTTTTTAAACCCAGCTCAGATTTTATTATTTCTTGAAGCCACCTTGATTTCCCCATTAAACATACCCATTATAGTATACAGTATAATATAGTAAGTTTACATTTTTCTTATGTAGCTTTGAAATTTATATTAAGACACCTTACATCATAAAAATACGAATCTCAAAGCCTTAACTGAGTAAACAGTGAAGCATTGTTGCTAGAACCAGGAACAGAATGAGATTTTTGAAAGAGAAGGAATACTTGTAATGAGTATACTAAAGTCAGAAGGAAGAGAATCTGCCCAAAGATGACAAAAGTATGAATTCCTGCTCATGTTTTCTGCTCTGTCTGCCTGAGGATCACTGTCACATGTTATCAACAGTGTCACCTGAGTAACTATTTTGTCCTCATTAGCTTTCTGCCATATGTTATTGTTGTTAGGTGCTGTCGAGTCGGCTCTGACTCATAGCAATCCTGTGTACAACAGAACGAAACACTCCCTGGTCCTGCGCCATTCTCACAGTCATTGTTATGCTTGAGCCCATTGTTGCAGCCACTGTGTCAGTCCATCTCATTGACATTCTTCCTCTTTTTCGCTGACTCTCTACCAAGTATGATGTCCTTCTCCAGGGACTGGTCTCTCCTGATAACATGTCCGAAGTACGTGAGATACAGTCTCACCATCCTTGCTTCTGAGAAGCATTCTGGCTGCACTTCTTCAAGGACAGATTTGTTCGTTCTTCTGGCAGTCCATGGTACATTCAGTATTCTTCGCCAACACCGAAATTCAGAGGCATCAGTTCTACTTCGATCTTCCTTGTTCATTGTCCAGCTTTCTCATGCATATGAGGCAATTGAAAGTACCATGGCTTGGGTCGGGTGCACCTTAGTCCTTTAAACCGTTAAAGAGGTCTTTTCCAGCATATTTGCCCATTGCAGTATGTCATTTGATTTCTTGACTGCTGCTTCCATGAGTGTTGATTGTGGATCCAAGTAAAATGAAATCCTTGACAACTTCAGTATTTCCTCCATTTATCATAATGTTGTTTATTGGTCCGGTTGTGAGGATTTTTGTTTCCTTTATATTGAGGTGTAATCCATACTGAAGGCTGTATGTAGTCTTTGATCTTCATCAGTAAGTGCTTCAAGTCGTCTTCACTTTCAGTGTGCAAGGTTGTGTCATGTACATATCGCAGGTTGTTAAAGAGTCTTCCTTTAATCCTGATGCTGTGTTCTTCATATAGTCCAGCTTCTCGGATTAGTTGCTCAGTATATGGATTGAATAAGTATGGTGAAAGGATACAACCCTGATGCACACTTTTCCTGATTCTAAGCCGTGTAGTATCCCCTTGTTCAGTTGGAACAACTGCCTCTTGGTCTGCGTACAGGTTTCTCATGAGCACAATTAAGTGTTCTGGAATTCCCATTCTTCGCAATGTTATCCATAATTTGTTATGATCCACATAGTCGAATACCTTTGCATAGTCAGTAAAACACAGGTAAACATCTTTCTGGTATTCTCTGTGTTCAGCCAAGATCCATCTGACAGCAGCAATGATATCCTTCGTTCCATGTCCTTTTCTGAAACCGGCTTTAATTTCTGGTAGTTCCCTGTTGATGTACCTCTGCAACTGCTTTTGAATGATCTTCAGCAAAATTTTACTTGGGTTTAGGCTAAATCCCTTTCTGTAGTTATTGTTAGGATAATCTGTGTTTTTCTCAAGTCACCCACTCCTAATACAGTCAGAAAGGCTTTTTCATGTGTAATGGCTCCCAGATAGGCTATGTGCCTGTTCCACTTCCTCTGCATACATACTATTTTAAGTTTGGTATGCTTTTTTGTATTTTTTTTTTCTTTCCCAATTATAAGTATTTGTGTGTGTGTGTGTGTGTGTGTGTGTGTGTGTGTGTGTGTATGCACACTCTTCTAGTCCTTACAAATTTGTGTATCCTTGTAGTCTTCTTTCTCTGTGATAAACCTGATTTTTCCCTGAACACAATACATTTCTTAGGACCTTGAATCCTGTCAGTGCTTGGGTGACTAAAGCCATCATTGATACCAGTTTAGTTTTTATACTGCAAGCTTCATTTTGCTTTAAAAATATTAAATCTATTTTAATTATATTAAAATGTTTTGAAGATGTGGTTGCTTCATTTCTGCCTGTTATGTAATATACCAAATAAAGCTGCTAAATTTTATTAGCAAGCAACTGAGGTTTTTACCTTTTTAACTTAATACTCCTTCCAAGCTGGTGATTTTGTTCTTTTTAATAAGTATGTTCATTGAAAGTGTTATATGGTGAGAATGTGTATGCAACAACACACGTGCTTTATTTTTACTTGAAAACATGGTCTTTCACTTCCCCCATTATTAGTTTGGATTCTTAGTAATTAAAGACCATATCCTGTATTTTAAGCAGCTGCTGAGAAAACTCAGAATGTTATTCTTTATTAGAAACTGGTTTTTTTCCTTTCTTTTATTGATAATTTTGAAAAGGAGTTAAGTTACTTTAGTTCTTAGGCAGTAATTAAAGGGACGAATTATAAAGCATTTCCCCATATTAAAAATTAATATATTCTTCTCATTATAATAGCTTAACCAAACATAAAAATCAAATATACCACACTCATATTGCTGGATTTTGCCTATTTTTACACATTGACTGGAAAGTATCTAAAAGAGCCATTTAACCCTTAAGGTTTACTGTTGTGCCAAGACTGTAGAAGTATTAATAATCTTAAATTAAAAAATCATCTATTATTTAGAGGGAGAGGTAATGAAAGTGTTAAATGTAATGAAAGCGTTTAATGTGAGATAGTTTGTTTACTATCAAAATATTATAATTATCTTAATCTTATTTTATTCTAAAATTCATATTATAATTTCAGTGGCTTTTAAGTCTTCAGGATCTTTATGTTTATTATCTAGGCTTTGAAATTACAAATGTAAACTTTAATAGACTATCCTGTGGTATAAACCCCACTAGTATGAACTTCACAGAAGGATTATACACAACCCAAACAGGAAATCGTTAAAATTTCTGCCTGTATTTTATGTTTTGTGGATATTGTACCCAATGTAATATTTTACCAACTATTTGATGTGTTTAACCAATGTCAAAAATAGTTTTAAAAACAACCAGACATATCCAAATATAAATACAGCTTCTATTTTTCACAGTATAGATTAAATTAGTGCACAGATTAACCATTATGCTGGACAGTAACTTTGAGAAATCTTTTTGTCAAAGGACTAGAAGGCAGGAGGGGACAGGAAAGCTGATGATAGGGAACCCAAGGTTGAGAAAGTACAGTGTTGACATGCCGTGGTGTTTTTAACCATTGTCATAGGGCAGTATGTGTACTAACTGTTTAATGAGAAACCATTCTATTCTGTAAACCTTCATCTAAAGTACAAAAAAAAAAAATCACGTAAGATCAAATTGACAACAGCAACTCATACGGTTAGGTGGGAAGCCTAGGAGGCAGTGAGTTGAAGATAATGGTGATGGAATAATTTGGAAAAGGATAGTGAGAATAGCAGCACAACTGGAAGAACGTAATTGATGTCACTGAATTGTACATATAGAAATTTTTGAAATGGTGTATCTTTGGCTTTGTATATTTTCACGAAAAAAGAAAAAAGGTCCTCTAAGGTTGAGAATGGAGAGTATTGACATGTTGTGGGTTTTGTTAACCAATGTCATAGAACAATATGCTTACTGATTGTGTAATGAGAAACTATTTGTTCTGTAAACCTTCACCTAAAGTACAATAAAAAAAAAAAATCTCTTTGTCAAAATGGGAGGAATTCCACCCATGAAATACTTTTTCATCATATTTTTTATTATTCTAAAATTTATTTTACCATTGGTTGTCATTTGTGTACTTGAGGCCCAGTTGCTTATATTGGTTTGTAGAGAAACTTATAAAGAAACTTTGGCCTTTCAGAGGCAATATGTAACTTTTTAATCTTTTCTAGGATATGGAAAAATGAAATAAATAATACTAGTACTTTCAGAGTTTTACCTCATCCTTCCTTTGTTTACACGGCTAAATTCCATCCAGCTGTAAAAGAGCTAGTGGTTACAGGATGTTATGATTCTGTGATACGGATATGGAAAGTTGATATGAGAGAGGAACCTGCCATATTGATCCGACAGTTTGACACTCACAAGAGTTTTATCAACTCTCTCTGTTTTGATACTGAAGGTATGTCAGAGAATGTGCTCCAAATGAAGGCGAGTTGCATGAAGTTTTTTTAAATTATTTTTCATTTGACTAGGTTAATAATTATTTAAGCTTGAGAGATTTTATGTATTGATGGTTGTTTGGCATATTTAGATTCATCCTTTTTTTGTAGATCACATGATAGACCTGGGTATAGATTAAGCACTGCAGAACTTCTCTTTAGAAGTTTTCTCTATAGTTTTAAGGTTGTTAATTCTTAAACATTTAGATAAGAACCAGTCATGCAATTTTTGAAATTTCATAAATTTATTTCATGGGATTAGTGTTTAACATCTCAGTAGTTGTTTTTAAAAGGGCCTTCTAAGTTAAAGAGTAAAAAATGAGGATGTAAGGGGAATATACCAAAGCAATATTGAAAATTTATATTAATTGGAACAACAACATTAAAAAATATATATAGAAGGGAAACTTGTAGTTATTTAAAGGTATCTCTTAGTATCTCAATAATAGTGATAATGTTTTAAAAAAATAAATTATTTCATTAGCTGAAAGAAAAAATTAATTCATTATATCTATCAACTAGTCACTTTTTACATTATTTCAGATAATGTAAGCTATAGCTATAGTTAGTATGGGATCCAGACCAAAATGAATACTTATATATTCATTTCAACTATAGGGATGTTAATAAATTGAAACACATTCAAAAAAGGTCATCCAGTACGAGGGAGGGTAGGGGTGGGGATAGAAAAACACTAAATAGACAATAGATAAGTGGTAACTTTGGTGAAGGGTAAGACAGTACACAATACTGGGGAAACCAGCACAGCTTGTCCAAGGCAAGGTCATGGAAGCTCCATAGACATATCCAAACTCCCTTAGGGACTGAATTACTGGGCTGAGGGCAGTGGGGACCACAGTCTCAGGAAACATCTAGCTCAACTGGCATACCATAGTTTATAAAGAAAGTGTTCTACATTCTACTTTGGTGAGTAGCCTCTGGGGTCTTAAAAGCCTGTGAGTGGCCATCTAAGATACTCCACTGGTCTCACCCCATCTGGAGCAAGGGAGAATGAAGAAAACCAAAGACACAAGGGAAAGATTAGTACAAATGACTGATGGACCACAGGTACTACAGCCTCCACCAGACCAAATCCAGCACAACTAGATGGTGCCCGGCTACCACCACTGACCACTCTGAGGGGGCATAATAGAGGGTCCTGGACAGAGCTGGAGAAAAATGTAGAACAAGATTCTAACTCAGAAAAAAAAAAAAAAAAAGATCAGACTTACTGGTCTGACAGAGATTGGAGAAGCCCCTAAGACAATGGCCCCCGGACACCCTTTTAGCTCAGTAATGAAGTCACTCTCAGGGTTCACCCTTCAGCCGAAGGTTAGACAGACCATAAGACAAAAAGAGACTAAAGGGGCACACCAGCCCAGGGACAAGGACTAGAAGACAGGAAGGGACAGGAAAGCTGGTAATAGGGAACCCAAGGTCAAGAAGGGGAGAGTGTTGATATATCATGGGGTTGGTAACCAGTGTCACAAAACAATATGTGTACTAATTGTTTAATGAGAAGCTAGTTTGTTCTGTAATCTTTCATCTAAACTACAATAATAAAAAAAAGAAATTATTTTAAAACATCCATAAAAAGAAGAAAGATCAACCAAGGATAGAAAGGTATCTGAAAATACTGTCATAATAGAAAGAAGTACCTCTCAGATTGTAAAAGTGAAATGGAGAATTTCTTCAAATATTTGACCATAAGCTGTCCAAATGTGAAAAAACAGGAAATTGGTCTGTGTTGCTCTAATGGATAGAGGTGGGACCAAAGCTAAAGAAGACATATGTTCTCCTCAGAATTAGAAAACACTTTCTAATACATAGAACAGTTCACTAGCTGAATAAGCTGTTTTGTAAAATACCAAATCCACAGTTTCTGAACAACTGTCTGTTAGTAATCGTGTGTAAGATATTCCTGAGTCGGTATGAAGTTGAACTTGACGGTCTCCGCAGTCCCATAAAACTGTAAGATGGTTTATCTCTAAGAATTAATGTTAAACTGGAACACCTTTTATTTATTTTATTTATTCTCTGATTATTTATTGAGTTCCTACTGGGTCTCAGGCATTATGCTACTGGTATGTATTAGAATGTGGATATTTTTCCAGAAATGTAAAATAGATTGTATTGATTAATGAAGATAAGGGATACAGGTACATATTAGATTAATCAAATGATTTGTTTGATTTTGGAATGTGAGCCATATACACATAGACTGAGACGCTCATTTTTTTTTTTGTATTTAAATTCAGGCAAGTGGCAAAGGCGAATAAATCATCAAAAATAATTCAAAAGAGTGAATGCGTTTAAATATAATTGAGATTTGAATATAAATTTTTTTTCATTGTTTTCTTCTTCAAAACTGAAATATCTTTTAGTAGGTCTTCGATTCTTCGACTGTTTTACTGGAATGTGATTTCCCCAACTTTATATTATTTGTTTCTGATTCTGTGCAACATTCATAAATGAGTATTTTTTTTAAATAGGTCATCACATGTATTCAGGAGACTGCACAGGGGTGATTGTCGTTTGGAATACCTATGTCAAAGTGAATGATGTGCAACATTCAGTGCGCCACTGGAGCGTAAATAAGGTATAAAGTTGTGTTTCCTGTTTTGGGATTTAATTAGAGAAATTGAAAAATGACCTTAAAATCAATGTCAAGACATTCTGTTCTCTCTTTAAAAAAATAACAATTTTCTCAGTCCCTGAAAAGTCAATCATCATGCCTTCCTGATGGCTGCTTGATGATGGGATGTGACTTACTGAAAATTTTCTTCATTTTGATCAAGCTTTGCCTTCATTTTTTGAGCCCCAGTCTGCCCTCTGGCATTCAGTGATCCTTTAGATGAAATTTATGCCCAAAAATGAGGTGTATGTTGTATTACTGTGTATAAGTAATAACATACTTTCCACTCTTCTTGAATCAGTCACACCTCTGTAAAAATACTGTGCTCAGTGTTTTTTCAGCAGTGTTGTTTTTCAGAATTATGTAGTTATGATTGGGTTTGTTACTTAATCACAATAATTGTTTCATTTGAAACTTGCTAAATAGGCAGAAATAAGTGAGTAACCTCTTCATTTTATGGGTAGAAAGTGGCTTGTATTTTGAGCAGTTATGTTGGTGTATATTTTTTACATTTGGTTAAAAAAAATAAAATGAATCATTAAACTTGAATTTGTTTTCTATAAATAGACGTAGTTTCTATCATACATGTTAAATCTTTGTTCTTCAGTTTTTCATAATAGATTATGACAGCAGTTGTTCTAGTTTGAAGAAGACACTCTTAAGTGTAAAGAATTTCCATGAACTTTGGTTAAATCTGTTGAGTCTGTCAGATCTGTTTAAAAAACAGTCTGATGTCTCCTGTTTTTAGTCATTCTCATCTTATCTGTCAGATTAATGAATGATGTCTTGTTGTAACCTAATTTTACACAGTCTGAAAAAAACTGTCGAATTACTTGTGAACCTGAGTGATTGGCAAGGCTCCAAAGGCACCAGTTCTAATTATTTGAGTATATAATGCAGAAGTTATTTGTTACAAAAGTCATGTGTTTATTTACCACAATATAGTAATGAGAAGACAAATTTACCTTGAAAATCTGCAAGTTGATGATTACTTGAGATAGTCAAAAATAAAAAGTTAGGAAATGAGCTGCTATGTCTTTTTAGTAGCAGTGGATCACTGAATGCCACAGGGCAAACTAGAGACTGTGGTTTCATTCATTCTTGGTACTATTCCGCCAGCAGTGTGGGGAAGGCTGTTATACTCCTCTGTCTCTTGAGGATGAAGTGTCCATGTGTTGTTTCACACAGTCCTTGGACCAGGTCAATGGCTTCAAAACAAGGGCCTTTTTTTTTTTTTTTTTTTTTTTATTCTGAGAATGAATATGGTAAAGAAAAAAATATAGAGGAAATCACTAACGGATTCTACAAACACCAAATCTGCCAGCACTTTCTCAAATTTACACCTAACACGTGTTATGTAGTTTTGTTTTTGATTTTGCACATTTGCATCTGTGTAAGTGTTGCTCCAGTTGCTCAAACCCCCAGCCGTGCTTCCCCCATCCCCAAACTGTTGTGGTACAGCTCACTAAAATCCCCATCTGTGGTGTCATTGTTTGACATTTTTCTATAAAAATTAGCTGACAGCAGGTCTTAGTGTTAAACAGCTGTAGCAGGGACTCAGCTACCACTATTAGGGCTGCAGCAGTATTGTAGCACAGCGCTGCTGGTGCCAACCCACCTGTGAAGAGGAGACCCTCTAGGAGAAGGGAGCAAAAAGGGGACCCCTGAAATGAGAAGAAGGCTAATTAGAATTCTGCCTACAGGTTAAAGCAGACTTTCCTTTGACTGTAAGGGCTTTAGCCTAAGCAATTTTGCATTTGCAATTTGTTTCTCTCAGAAATCCGAACAAGGACATTTGGTAATTCTTCCAGTGAAAGGAAGTCTTATACAGGCAGGTACTCTTCCGTGTTTATGTCTTTCTTGACATTAGTTGGATGTCTTCTATAGCGATCTTAAATATAACTATCAACAAAATCCAAAAAACTAAAATTACAAGCTAAATTTTATTTCAGAATAAGTATCCGATAACTCATCTCTTCCAGGATGAGTAGAAGTGTATGATTAAATAATTTGAGATTGGAGTAGAATTTGAAAGTTAATTCTGTACTTACTTTTAAATTTATAAAAATCGGAAGCTACAGGATTAATTGCCTACACAAACCACAGCCTCATCTATCTTGAGACCAGAAGAACTAAATGATGCCTGGCTACACTAATGAGTGTTCTGACCAGGGACACAATAAATGGTCCTGGATAGAATGGGAGAAAATTACAGAACAAAATTCAAATTCTTAAAAATAAAGCCAGGCTTTCTGGCCAGTAGAGACTGGAGGAATCCCTGAGACTATCGCCTTGAGATACCTTTTAAACTTTGAACTGAAACCACTCCCAGAGGTCACCTTTCAGCTAAATAACAGATTACCTCATAAAATAAACAATATCACCTGTAAGTACTATGCTTCTTAAAAGAAAGAAAAAAAAATCATCTATATGAGACCAAATGGTCAACATTTACCCTAAAGTAAAGATGAAAAGGGTGGGTGCGGGGTGGGGGAATTAAATTAATGGAAACTGAACAACCAGAATGGAAATAATGAGAATATTGGCACAATGTGGAAAATGTAACCAATGTTGCTGAACAATATGTACAGAAATTGTTAATTGAAAACCTAATTTGCTATATAAACTTTCACCAAAAAGCAATAAAATATTTAATGGAGAATAAAACAAAAAAAACGGAAGTTTCCTTATATGATGATAAACTAAAAATAGAGTGTTAAAAGATACGTTTATTAGAAGTGCTTCTGGTTTGGGGACTAATTTTGGGAAAGTGAATATACTACAAAAGCACTAATTAAATAAGGTATTACATAACAACGACAAAAATTTGTGCAGATTTATTTTCAACTCTGTTTTACATTTTGCAGCCAAACAGAAAATGACTTTTTAGAACTAATTCTAAAGGTTTAGCAGCAGACAAAGTTTTTGATAGTGATATTCGATAATCTTTTTTTTTTAATCATTTTAGGAAATTAAAGAGAGTGAGTTTAAGGGGATTCCAGTAAGTTATTTGGAGGTTCATCCCAATGGAAAACGTTTGTTAATCCATACCAAAGATAGTACGTTGAGAATTATGGATCTCCGAATGTAAGTATATTCTGGTATTGACAGGATACATATCCATAGAATAACTAATGGATTAATTTATGTTTATAAAATGCAGCGGTGGTTCTCAACCATGGACGATTTTTTGTCCCAAGGAACATTTGACAATGTCTGAGACATTTTTGACTATTGCTGTTGGTTTCTAGTGGGTAGACACCATGGATACTGCTAAGTATCCTACAGTTCACAGGACAACTTCCCAAGACAAAGAATTATCTTGGCCAAAATGTGAACAGTGCTCAGGTTTGGAAACCCTGAGATGCAGTCCGTTGTTTTTAATTGTCAAAATTAAAGAAACTTTCTACGTTCAACAGTGATGAATGCCTTTTAATCACTATCATATTGGTATAGCATAGTATGATATCATAACTGAATGAGAGGGCTTTTGAATAATACCAAACCAAAAAACCAAACCCATTGCTGTTGAGTTGATTCCAACTCATAGCGATACCGCATTGCTTTACTTCTTTCTTTAAGTCCTAACTAAGGCACTCAAAAAGGAAGTGTCCTTAGTGCAGGGAAGGGAAGTAGATTCTGGGAAGCCAGCATGTACTTTGGTTTTGGTATTGGAGTTCATGTAAAACAACTGAGAGAAACGATTTTATTGCACATGATGCTTATTAGTTATTTTATTTCTGAGCATTACTCTGTTTAGAGAGGCAATGTGGTAATCTGTATTAGTTTAATTCTGGAAGTATCTGTTTAGGACTGATTATTTAGCCCGTCAGTGTTTCTGTAGAGCTATTCAGGACACTGGCATGAGTGGTGTGGGAGAATGACAGGCAGGATTAGTGCATCAGGAGTTTATGAGCTAGTTGTCTGCCTCCAAAATAAGACATACAGCATTTAATTAGACTAAAGTGTGAGATGTTCTAGGACTAGAATCTACTTTTTTGTTGTTGTTATACATAGCACCCATGTAATACCTGGCAGATATCAAGTACTCAATATGTATTTATCTAATAAATATAAATATATAATAAAAGGATTTTTTTTTCGGGGCCACAATAAATCTGACAGCTATAATATAGTCTCCTGTTAAAGGCTGTATGGAAGAGTTAGCCTTTGAGCTTGATCTTGAAGGATGTGTAGAAATTAGACAGGAGGAGACCAAAGATGGAACTTTTTTCTGTGGAATAGAAATAAAAGTTCAGTGTTGGAGTAATATAAGATATATTCAGGGCAAAGTGAGTTAGCCAGTACATATGAACATAAGTTTCTTGATAAAGGGGTATTGAGAGAGAAATATTTAGAAATAGAGATTAAAGTCAGGTTCTAGAAGGCCAGGCTAAGGAGTTTGGTTATTCTCTTTTTAGTAGTATTGTATATAGCTTACGATCATGCTTGGACTCTGGAAGATACTGCTTAGATTCACACACTGCCTTTTGCACCTTCTACTAGTTGGTTAACCTGTCTGTGCCTCTCTTTCCTTATGTCTCAAGTGAGGAAATAATATATTGAACTCATAAGGTTTTTGTGGGAATAAACTAGTTAATACATGTAAAGTACTTAAAAACAGTACAGCCCATAGCAAAAAGTCCAGAAATGTTTGACCCATAACCCCCAGGTCTGGGAATTTATCTTAAGAAAATAATTGTAAAACAGTAGAAACATACGTACATTAGATTGCTCATAGAAATCATGTTCATGATAGGAGAAAGCTGGAAACATCCTCAGTGTTGTCCAGTAATAGAAAATTGTTTAAGATATGTTAGGTAATGATGTACATATACCCACTTAAAATGATAAAGTATGATCTTTATTTCATGACACAGAGGGCCATTATTCATGATTTATTGTTGAGTGAGAAAAAAAAAAAAAGCCAGTTGCAAAGCAGTATACATAATAGCTTCTCTGTAAACCAGAGATGATAATAGTACCTACCCAGACATAGCACTAAAGTGTTTGCTGTTACTCATAAGTGAAAACATCTGGAATGTTGTGCACTATATTTAATAGATGATTTGAATAATGTTTCTTCATAGATCAAGTATTTCTTGTGTGATTTTTAATTTCATCATGTGGAAGGAATATAAAAATTCTATCCATTTTTTAGTAACCAACTTGAATACTACTTCCATATAGTAGTCTCTGATCTCGAACGAGAATTAATCTCTCTTGTCCAAATCCCCAAAGCACTTTTTCTGGGGTTTTTTTTTTTTTTTTTTTTTTTTTTTTTGTTTCTTCCTCCTCCTTTACAATAATACATTTCTTCTCTCTCATGCTAAATCATAAACTTTTTGAGCTCGGAGACTAGCTCTTTTTTTATTCTGCATCCATCACAGATTCTTACAATACATTTTTTGAATTTAAATGAAGTATTTAAAAGAAACATTTTTCTACCATCAGTCTTTTAATTGTGTCAGACAGGTTACATTTGTAAAACATTTTTTTTGTTTATAGATTGGCAGCAAGGAAATTTGTAGGTGCTGCAAATTATCGGGAGAAGATTCATAGTACATTGACACCATGTGGGACTTTTCTTTTTGCTGGAAGTGAGGATGGTATAGTGTATGTTTGGAACCCAGAAACAGGTAAATATTTCATCGATCTTCAAAAAAATTTTTTTTGTTTTTGGTTTTTGAAGAAGTGTGAAAACTCTTTCCACTGTATGGGGTAATAGTCAAGGAAATTCTGAGTTCAGATTTTCAATTATGTATTTTAAGATTGGGGAGCCAATAAATGGACCTCAGCTATAGTCTTAGCTTATACTAAATTCTGTTCTTTGTTGTTTTACTGTTCACAAATTAAGATTTCACACAATAACCAAGATTTGTCCTTTTTTACCTACAATGAGATATTGTTGATTTTAAACAAGTATTTAGTGAGGACTGTAATGCAAAATACAAATGTTATTAAATGAATTTGGAATATAGCTGGGGATCCAAGTGGTCCAACACCTACAATATGTTTTCATTAGAAACAGGAACATTCCTGTCAAAGATGTCTGGAACTTAAAACAGCAGTTTACCTGAATTACTGCAATTCAGTTTTTTCTCAATAAAATGAACACTGAACATTGGGAAATTTATTTGTGTCTCACCTTTGTTTTTCAAAAGAAAAGCTGAAACTACATAAACTTTTTTTAGCAAGAAATTGAGATAATTTTATCAAATTCACTTAAAATTTTTTGGATGAACAGTATCTGATTTAGCCTTGTTCATTTGCTTGACATTTCCTTTAGGCATTTTTGACTAATTACTTAGGTCTTTTTCTGTACTGATTTTTTGATACATACCATCAATTCAGAAGTGTTAAATCTCTCTTCCCTCCTAAGTTCCTTGCTTTTTGTGATATCCTCACTGATTTTCATAGGTTTCATAGACCGATAACCCTCTGCTTTAGGCTTCTTTTAGCCATTCAGAAGCATAGGTATCTTTCAAGCAGATGATACCTCACACAGCCTCAGGTAAAAATATAAAAACTAATCCCTTATAGAAGCCAATCCCAACCAGAATTTCTTCAGTTTTAGAATCCTGTAATTCCTCTTCTTGTTCTACACAGAGTTCTTTGTTAGTTGAAATTTGCTCAGCTCTGTCAGAAGTCACAGTCAGATATTGCTCTACTTCTTTCTAAATCCTTTGTCTCTATCTTGTGCCTTGAAAACCTCATTGAAGAGATTGGATTGTGAAGTAGAAAGAAGGGTGCCTACAGAATACATTCACTCCTCACTTGTTGACATGGTTAGGTTCAAAGACCAAATCGTTATGTAAAAATTGGCATGCAAGAATGAAGGATGACCACATCAGATCACAAAATAGAAGATGACTACATCATTATATAACTGCCAGATTACACCATTACATAACTGTCAAAAATCACATCATTACATAGCTACCAAATCATTGAGAATCATGGCTCAGCCAAATTGACACATAACCTTAACCATCACAGCTAGCGTTACTTGCCTCGCACCTTGGCGTACGTTACTGCCTGATGCACGTGGTTAATGCACAAAATAGTCGGAGAGTAGGTTTTTTACTGTTGTTGTAAATGTGAAATGTCACGTAATGAGATAGTCAATGAGTGGAGTAGGTGTGCAGTACAAATATAAGTTTTTAATACAGTGGTACTCAAATATTTATAAAGTACTTGAGGATTTTCATGTAAATAATATGAGCTTCATCATTACTTACTAAAAATATTTTTTAATAAATTGCAAAATAATCTTGTAATGCTTAAGACAAATTATTGAATGTATTTTCTTTTTAGGAGAACAAGTAGCAATGTATTCTGACCTTCCATTCAAGTCTCCCATTCGAGACATCTCCTATCACCCACTTGAACATATGGTTGCATTTTGTGCATTTGGGCAGAATGAGCCAATTCTTCTTTATATTTATGATTTCCATGGTAAGTCCACTACTTTTTAAGTAAAGAATATTTAGAGTAATCTTTACATTTAGACTGAACTAAGAATCATGAATTCTAGGAAAGCTATTATCCTTTATGTTAACAAAGCTTTCTTGAATGTACTCTAAGAACTGAACAGATTAAATAGATATTATTGTGTTATATAACATTTTATTTTTCCATAAGCATGACTGTTATTGAATTTAAATGTAGGCAAAAAGTACACACAATGATTGTGCTCTTATCTTGGAATTGTAGAAATGTAGCCATCACTTTCTTTGTAAACCAATTTAAATAATTAAAATTCACCTAAAAATTAATTGGGAACATGTTAGCTAAATATATAAGGTAAAGTAACATTTTGAAAACAGGCATCTTGAATATTATCAATTGACTAGTGAGTTAATTTTTGTGCTATATTTTTGTTTTTCCTAAGCTTATAATTTTAGTAAGTTGTAGTTTTGAGAGTTTCTTAACATAAAAAAAAGAAAAATGAAAACAAGATCTGAAATTAGAAATTTAAGGACTTTTTCTGCTCTAAACTTACCCTATCCTATCATTCTGAGAAATAATAAAGAAATAAGGTGACTGTATACACATTTTTCAGGAATAGTATAGCATTCTAAGAATTATTATTTATCTTGTTTTTCATATGTTTCTTTAATTTTTGTACTGAAATTAGGATTTCATCATTCTGTATTGCAGTAATATTGTGATTGCTCTCAAAGTTGCAATTCCATTTCTTCATATATTAATTCTTGTACAAAAATAGAAGATCTGTATTAGTCTCTTTGACTTGTTTAAATTCTAAGTGTCATCATTCCCTGTTTATGATAAGCTAAGAAGGCTTACGCATATATATTATACCTACACAAATGTTAGAAGTGCATAAATATACAAATAGTATGTAGGTAACATTAACGTGGAACTATTTGGACAAAGTGTTTTAAATTAATGAAATGTCAAAAGTTAAGTTTATTATGTTAAAACAATCACTTAGTGATTGTGATAAATGCTGAGTTATTAGACAATTGAGATAAATCATAAACCTAAAATTCTTGATCATTGTATGGATTGTATTATCCCTTTCCAGGTGAATTATATTAGAAAATAATGCATAAAGTTGAGATTTATTTTATTTTAAAGAGCATTGAGAGAAGTAATTTCTACAACACATATTCAGATTTGTAGAACACTATCACTAATGGTAGAATTGTCAAGCAACACAGTACCATTTGCTTTTACAGGCAAATGTTAGCAAAAATAAAACATTGCCTGATCATGGGAAACGACAGATGGATTTCTCAAATGAGCCGAAGTCCAAATCTGATGTCTAGTTCAAACTTGTATCCTGAAAACAGTTCTTTCTTTGTACTCATTCTAAATCTTCATATAAAGGAAGAGAGTTATACCTAAGTACTTTATAATTGGGACTGTTATACAGGAAATAGGCAACACAGTTATTTCCTCAGACTCTTAAGAGGTTAGAGATTATTTCACAACAGTCTTCATTCAGATTCTAATTTGCTTTTTAAGCTTTGGAAATTTTCACTAATGCAAGTTAAGATTCCACTCTTTTTTTTTTTTTTTGTCTTCAAGCAATTTATTTTTGTCATTGACAGAAGGATTTTATAATTAGATCAGCCCAAGAGAGTTAGGTTTGCCAATCTGGTTTTTAGACAATAGACATTGAGTGTAAGAAGTCCATTCTAGCAAAGTATTAGAGAAAAGTGTTAGGAATCTAAAACATGAGTTTTAGGCTCAGTTCTGTTTACTTCAGTGACTTTGCATAAGCCCCTTGCCTTTCTGTAGCTTCATTTCCTTGTATATTAAATGGTACTATGAATAATAGTGTTCTACCTAAAAGGATTATTTGTGAGGATAATAGAAGAGAGTAACTGTGAAAGTGCTCCATAAATTGATAGGCACTATATTAAAACAAACACAAACAGCAAAAGGTAAAATGGTATTACCATGCTTATCCAACCAGTATACGCTTGACTTTATAGGAACTTATGTTTTAATAGGCTGATAAGCATCTTATATGGAATGGAATTAGAAAAAAGTTTCTGTGTATTTTTTTCCCTCTCTGTGACTCTTTCTGTTTGTCAGCCTTTTCTTTTTGTTTATCGAAGTGGGTATCTTTCCAGGTAAATTGTGTTGGAAAATAAATGCATAAAGTTAAGAATATAATGGTATAGCTGTATTATGTTAAAGTGTAGAAGGAAGGCTTTACATGAGCATTTTAGCAGTAAAAAGGTTCAAATAATGGACATGAAATTAAAATTACTTTGTGCAAGGTATTTAGAACAAGTTTTGATAGCACACCTTTTCAAACAAGTTAAAACTCGGTATGTTTCAACACATTTTCCCAACTCTTTGCTGCCTATTTTTAAAATGAGGAAACTTAGGAAGAAGTTAAGTAATCTCAAGCAATCCAAGATTTAGTACAGTTCTTGTGAGTGGTATATATCCATAAGAAAATGAAAAGTTGTTTCTGACTCTGAAATATTTTACTTTTTAAATGCAGGCCAGAATCATCAAGTCAAGTAGTGTTCAAATTTTTCATTAAAAATTATAATATTTCTTATTGACCTATTATAGTTTTGCCTTATATTTTATTTGTTTTTTAATATGAGAATCTTTTGGCTAAAAACTTTCTTGTCTAAAAGTAAAGTTTACTTGTGGCTTTACGTAAATTTTTTTTCACACTTTTTTTTATGTGAATAGTATAAAATTTAAAATATATAGAACTGTTGTATGGTTTTAAAATATTTATATGAAGACAAAATAGATTAAGTAAGTGGAAAATAAATCAGGCTTCAGGGTGCTGATACTTTATTGATTTTAGGTAATTTTCAAGGAAAATGAAGCAAGCTCTTTTTTTCTTTTTCTTTTTTAATGTTAAATAAGCTGCGAATGAGACCACAGTGGTAGCTAAATGTATCATCCATTTTTCAGTTCTAGCAAAATCTGTGAAGAGTCAGCAAGCATCTTTCCCTGTTAAGCATATGTTCAGGTTGTGGTCTTTTGAGTCTTTCATTCTACTGACTTTTTGCTTTTTTTGGTAAGAAAGAAAATTTTTACTTTCAGAAGGCAGTTTTATTTGCCTGATGTTGAAAGGGTTAATCATATAGTAATACAAAATTTAGTCACAGAGTACCACAAATAATGTACTTTTAGGATTCCCATAATAACAGAGTACTAGTCAGAGAAACGGCTTCTACTGAATTAAATTTATGAAGCTAGACTTTAGCAATTAATGTTTTACTCTTAGTATTTGTCTACCTTAGTCTCCAGCATGCAGTTATACATTTAATAATAATAATAGGTAATACTTACATAGCTCTTTCTCTGTTCCTTGTACTGCTTTAAGTATTTTACATATATTCTTTAATTTTCACATTAAACTTACGTGGTAGATACTGTTATCCCCATTTTATAGAAGCTGGGATTTTTATCCTTACAGTCTAGCCTTGGAATCTGTGTACTTATTTACTACACTAACCTACTTTTTTAGCAGGCGTTCCTGACATATTAGCTTTTGATTGTCTAATAAGCAAACCTTTTTTTTCTGTAATACCATTTACACTGTGGTTTTCTGTGGAGTAGTGTGAGTTCTTTGTATTTCCTATACTTTGTAGGAAGCAGAGATAGAGTCTTATTCATCTTTTTTTATTACCAGTACCTATTCTGAATAGGAACATCTAATGAATATGCATATAATATTTTAAGTAGTGTTAAGTCTTAATTTGGGAAGTTCTTAGCATTATTTAATAATTCCAGGTAATGAGCCTAGTCTTTCACTAGGTGGCAATATCTCCTCTGAATCAGTATTAACTCTAAGAGTGCTTTACCGTGGTAGTAATGTCTTAGATAACACAGATTATTGTTGAGCACCTATTGCAGGGCCCTGGTTGCTCAGTGGTTAAGCATTTGGCTGCTAACCAAAAGGTTGGCAGTTCGAATCCACCAACTGCTCCTTGGAAACCCTATCGGTCAGTTCTCCTCTGTCATACAGGGTCACTATGAGTCGGAATTGACTCGAGGGCAGTGGCTATTGTGTGCCAAGTTGAACTGGGCTATGAAACCCAGGAATTAGAATCAGGTTACCATGATTTTTTTTTTTTTTTTCCCAATCCCTTGTGCTTTCTCAGTAGTTGATTCAAGCTCTGGAATAACATTAGTTAAACTTAAAAGCAATTTCTACCACTGGAACTAAATATGATTTTATTCATACAGTCCATATTTAAAGAGACCTAGTGGCACTACAGTTAAACACTCAGCTGCTAACTGAAAGGTCAGCCTGTTTGAATCCATCCAGTGGCACCATGGGAGAAAAGACCTGGCAATCTGCTCCCATAAAGATAACAGCATAGGAAACCCTACCGGGGCTACTTTGTCCTCTAGGGTTGCTGTGAGTCAAAATCAACTTGACAGCAAACAACAACAGCAACAGTGAGCTTCTGTGTTGTTGTCCTTGATATCTTTATTTTTCACACTGTTATGCTTTGTCAGAGTACAGGGCACATGTATGTTTAGGTTTCTGTAAAAATTTTGTTATATAATTTGCTCATTGAATAATAGCCCATGATGTTTATAACCCCTTATGTCTAACATAGGAGTCCTGGTGGTGCAGTGGTTAAGCGCTCGGCTGCTAACCAAAAGATCAGCAGTTCAAACTCATTGCCAAAAGATGTGGCAGTCTGCTTCCATAAAGATTTATAGCCTTAGAAACCTATGGGGCAGTTCTACTCTGTCCTCTAGGGTCACTGTGAGTCAGAATCAACTTGAGGGCAGTGGGTTTGTTTTTTTTATTGTTGTTGTTGCTGTTTCTATCTAACATAGTACTTTGCATGTTACTGATGTGCAGTGAATTCTTGAATTAAGAATTACAAATTCTGTAGAATAGCATTTCCCCCTTAGGATTTATAAAAATATAGCACAAAAGGCACGCTCAGTTAGTATGTTTAGAGCTAATAATAATAGGGGTAGTAGTA